TACTTTTAAAAGAAGGCAGTGTTAGGGAAAAACAGAGACCTAGCACCTACTGGCTTAATCCCCAGTTGCCCACAACAGCCAGGGCTGGCCCAGACCAAACCCGGGTCCTCCACGTGTGAACAGGGTCCCAAGGATTTGGGCCGCCATCCACTGCCTTCCCAGGCACGTCACATTAGCGGGGTGTGGGATCCGAAGTGGAGCACCTGGGACCTAATTCGTGCCCATATGGGACGTAAGCGTGATAGACAGCAGCTTTACCAGCTGTGTCAATGCCAACCATTGGAAACACCTGTCAAATGCCTGCTGTGAGGGGCCAGCACCAGCGATAGGGCATAATAGGCTCAGTCTCCGCCTATGACATGATGCCGTGTGGATGTGACTGGGCAAGCAGCAGATGGCCCAGGTGTGTGGGCCCCTGCAGGCACACAGGAGACCCAGAGGAAACCCCTGACTCCCGGCTGACCAGTTCCGACCCTCTCTGTCATCTCTAACTCTGCCTTTCCAATATAAAGAAAGAAACGCTTGCTGTGTGCTGAGCAGAACGCCCAGCCAACAACTGCTGCTGCCCCGTTGGGGTCCCCGCTTTTGAGAGGATGGACGCTGATGGGCTGGGGAGCGTGGTGCCATTCAGCCACACATGGGACCAAGTGCCAGTTCTGCCAGTGTCAGTTGTGGACCCTACATGCTTCCGATCCCTACTGCAGAAGACAAGTGCTAGACAGGAGATGTGGGCATCCCGCCCTGACCACCAGAGGGCACCAGACACTGCGTGTGACCCTGGACGCCTGCTTACCCAGGTAGTCCATAGAAAGGACATTGGCTTGTCCAGGCCAGCTCATAGCCGAGGAAGTGCCAAGGCTGCCCCTTGCTTCCCTCAGCCAGGTCCCCTCACCAGACAAGAGTAGCCGGGACCCTGCCAGCCTCCACCTGCCCACTTACTCATCCCCTCTGGCCTGCAGGTGCACGTGGGGGGCAGCCTGGCAGTCCTGGGAGGGAAGCTGTATGTCTCCGGAGGTTATGACAACACCTTTGAGCTCTCAGATGTGGTGGAAGCCTACGACCCAGAGACTCGGGCGTGGAGCGTGGTGGGGCGGCTCCCCGAGCCCACCTTCTGGCATGGCAGCGTCAGCATCTTCCGCCAGTTCATGCCACAGACACCCCTGGGTGGGCGCGGCTTCGAGCTGGACAGCAGCAGCCACGACATGGACGCAGGCCGGCCCCGGCCACCGCAACACCCTGAAGAGCTGCACTAGCCCCGGCCAGGCCCAGGGAGGGCCTCGGTGCTGGGGAGCTAGCACCTGCGGGGTGAGTGACCCGCTGCTTTGTGCGTGAGGACAGGCTGTGCTCCTGGGCAGCACGTGGGCCCCTGGGCAGCCCAGCGAGCCCAGGATCCATCACCCACAAGGCCTCTGCCCGGCCTGAAGGCGTTTCCTGGGGTGAGGTCCCCCTCCACTTGCAGATGTCCTGGCTCTCCCGGGTCACCCCCAGGCAGCACACACACACCTTGTTCCCATCCTGGGAGAACAGGTTACAGATACCCTCCCAAGAGGGTCTGGTCTGGAACCTAGAGCTTTTGGGTGCCCAGCTCGATGTCCAGCACTGGTTATCATTGTGGGGCAGAGCCGAGTGCGGGGCCGTGGGCCTAGGTGGGAGTGTGAACATGAGGGTTTGCAGCAGCCGCGCAGAGGACCTGGCGTGGTGGCCTCTGGGTCTGCCTGGCCTGTGTGTCCTCGTGGGGTTCCAGGCCCGTGAAGGAGAAGACGGAAGCCTGCGCGCGTGTGCAAGGTCGTGGCGTCTCGTGTCTGCCATTGATCCCAGCAAGCTGCACTTGCCCAGGACCTTTCCAGGCCTCCGAGTGGGGACTCCGGTTGTGCCTAAAGGAAGCCCTGGAGGGGGCCGGCCTACATGGCCGCTTCCTGGATTTGAAGGGGGGTGTGTGATTTTCAAACCGTAAAGTGCCAGTCCTGGAGCCCTCTGCAAGAACGGGGGCGCTGGGGACGAGGCGGCCCTGGCTTTCTCTGGGAAGCGGGCGGTAAGCCGTAGCTTGGATTTGCCTGTCGCTCCGTCTGGAGAAGACGGCATCGGGCCACGGCCTCCTCATGCTGCTGAGTGCTGGGCAGTAGGAGGCACTGAGCTGTGTTGTCAGCCGCAGCGGGGACAGCAGGGCAGGGCTCAGCCAGGCAGGGTTCACTGAGCCCTGGGTTCTGCCCGGAAGGCCCTTCCTGTGCAGTCTGAGGATGGAGTCCTGCGGTCAGGCGTGGCGGCTGCCGGTCCGCATTGCTCAGGCGCAGCTCTGCAGGTGGAGCAAGGTTGGCCAGGCCGTGTCCATCTGCACTGCTGGGCTGCCTGGGTCGCACTCGTGTTGGAAGCTTCAGAGACGTGTAATCAAGGCTGTCCTGTCTTAGGCGACCGGTTCCCAGTCCTACCCGGCAAGGTGGGTTGGATTTACGTATTTATTATTATTATTATTTGGTCTAGCTATCCTATGGGCTCACATGTCCAGAATCCTACCTAGGGTTTAGGAGGCCTTCAGTACTTTTTGAAATAAAAGTGTTTGCTAGACTTTTCGTGTCCCTTCCTTCGGCTGCTGTGTCTTGTGGGAACAGTCTGGGGGAGGCCGCAAAGGCTGTGCCTGGGCCAGGCTGAGGCCCCGAAGGAGGCGGGTCAGAACCCTCGGGCCTTTTTCCTTTTTGGATTGGCAGGGAAGGAGGGCACCACCAGGTTGGTTTTGTCTCTGACCTCCCTGGGCAGTTGGTCACCAGGGAGCCAGCTGCAGCCCTGCTGTCCTCTCTCTCCCAATCAGGAGCCCCACCCTCCTGTGGGATGGCCCTGGGACTTGGGAAGGATCAAAGCAGGAGCGCTGCTATGGCCGCAGGAGACGCCCATACCTGGACGGGAAACCAGTGTTGTCTGTTGCTCCTGCAGGCTTCACGAAGCAGCTCAGGCCCAGCGTGTGCAAATGCACTGGCCCTGGACTCTCAAGCCCTGCCACCTGCTGCTGGCCCTGGCAGTGACCCATGGCTGGAGTGTTCCTGTTCTGCAGTGGGGCAAGGAGTGGCAGTTTGGCAGAGCAGGTCTCACTGATGGGTTTGGGTCTTGCCTCGCCTCTCCTGTCCAGCTCCCTGCCACTGTGCAGGAGCCAGCCGAGCCAGCATGGAGTGGGCCTTCAGGCATTCTTCAGTGATAGAACTAAAGTGCTACCTGGCTTGGATCATGGCCATCACAGCCACTGGTGGACCTGACCACATGTCTGTAAGTGGGCACTTTAGAATTCTGCCCACGGACTCTTTAATCTGTATTTGAAAGAAAAGTTAGAGAGATCTTCATCCATTGGTCCACTCCTCACGAGGCCACAGCAGCGAGCGTTGAGCCGCTCTTCTGGATGTCCCACATGGGCTCAGGGTCCCAAAGACTGGGCCGTCCTCCACTGCTTTCCCAGGCCACGGACAGGGAGCTGGAGGGTAAGTGGAGCAGCTGGGATATGAACCGGTGCCTAGATGGGATCCCTGGCAAGTGTAAGTCGAGGACTTTAGCCACTAGGCTGCCGTGCCGGGCCCTTCCTCACCCTTTTTCTAAAAAAAATTTGCCAGGCCCAGGAGAGCAGAGTCCCCAGCACCAGGCCAATTTTGTGATTCCCTGCCCAGGAGTTAACAAGGGGCACAGTGGGATCTCTGGCTGTAAAGTTCATGCTGTTACTAACCCACTGCTTCAAGACCAGGGATGTGGACTTACTCAGGGTCACAGGACGGAAAATTCCAAAATTAAAACATGTTGGCCCAGGCCATCTATTCCACCTGTGTGCCTTGTGCCACGACACAGCTGCCCAGGGCTGCTCACAGCTCCAGGACTGCAGGACCCAGAATGACCACAGGCGACCCAGCCAGTGTCCTCCCAGGGGACAGATCCTTCCAGGAGGTGCCTCTAGCACAGCCCTGCCTGCCCAGCCCCACTAAGGCCCCACATGTACTGGGCCACACCACCTGGTGAGTCTTGGCTGGTGAGGCTATCATTGTGAGCCCATGCATCTCCATTTTTTTTTTAATTGGAAAGATTTACAGAATGAAGGGGAGACAGACAAGAAGATCTTCTATCCACTGGTTCACTGCCCTAATGGCCGCAAAGGCCAGAACTGAGCTGATCCAAAGCCGGGAGCCAGAAGCTTCTGGGTCTCCCATTTGGGTGCAGGGTTCCCAAGTCCTTGGGCCGTCCTCAACTGCCTTCTCAGGCCACAAGCAGGGAGTCGGAAGGGAAGCAGAGCAGCTGGGATACAAACCCGCGCCCATATGGGATCGCAGGAGTACAAGGCAAGGACTTCTGCTACTAGGCTACCATGCCGGGCCCCCATCTTTTTTTTCAAGATTTATTTATCTTGACTGGAAAGTCAAATTTACAGAGAGAAGGGACAAAAAAGATTCATTCACTGGTTCACTCCCCAGATAGCTCCAACAGCCAGAGCTGAGGCAGCCCGAAGCCAGGAACCAGGCGCTTCTTACTGGTCTCCCATGCAGGTACAGGGTTCCAAGGCTTTGGGCCGTCCTTGACTGCCTTCCCAAGTCACAAGCAGGGAGCTGGATGGGAAGAGGAGCAGCCAGGACATGAATCAGCGCCCATACGGGATCCTGGCGCATGCCAAGTGAGGACTTTAGTCACTAGGCCTCTGCACCACAGCTACACCTCTCCATCCTTACACCTCAGGCTTAGTGGTCAGTCTTACCTGCACCAACTGCAGCCCCTCAATTTCACAACAGGAGGCGTGAGTGCCCACTGGCCAATGCTCCCAGGCCTAGAATGTAGAAAATGAGGGCCTGGAGCCAAAGGCAGAGAAGCACTGGGTACAGGGGCTCACTCAGCTGAGCTCTTTGGATGAGTTAGGGTACTGTGAGCTTAGCCCTAAGGACAAGCAAGCACTGGGCAGGGCACTGCGGTGGGCACAGGCGAAAAGGCAGCACGTTACAGCCCCAGGCTACAGGGGAACGGAGCACCAGGCAGGCTGAAAAATTGAGTCCAACAGCATGTTTTATTGGGTCCGGGGCCAGCGGGTCTCGGTGGGCGGGCGTGCTACGTGTCGCAGTCCTCAGTGACGGCTGCCGTCATGAGCAGGGATGGCTCCGTCACTCCGGGGCTGGCAAAGCTCTCCTCAGCACACAGTCTCTGGCCAGGCAGCGGAGGGGCCAGGCCACCCTGGGCCAGGGACTCCACGATGACCTCGGCTGAAGCCACCTCCAGCTCCGCAGGCGGCTGCAGTGCCACCACCACCATCTTCTCGTCCTCGATGACCAGGTTTCGGAGCTTGCGCTGCCGCGGGTTGTAGTTCTCCACGCGATCGTGGATCTCCATGTGCCGGCGCAGGTGGGCCTGCAGGCGCGGGGTGCGGCGGTGAGCAGACAAAGCGAGGAGCAGCCGCACACTGGTGCAGATCTCCGCCTGACTTACCTGCCGCGTGAACTTGTAGCCACACTCAGTGCACTCAAACTTCCTCACCCCCTTGTGGCGTCTGACGTGCACACGCAGCTGCTCCACGGCTGCAGAAGGGAAGGTGGGGCCGGTGTCAGGAGAGGGGAACATGGAAGATGGAGCCCCAAGGCGCATACGGAGCCAGGAGAGCAGCAGGAAGCTGCGACTGAGGCCTGGGGGCCACTTCCTGCCACCCCCCTAGGGGTGTAGCTGCAGCACAGGCCCCGGCTTGGCCCTAAAGAACTGCCCAGGCCCTGCTCCCCAGAAGCTCCAGTGTCACCTCACATGCGGACGCGAGGTCCCAGCAAGAAGGTCCTACTGCTGGCACAGGCAGTCAGAAGCCACAGAGCCTCCATGCGACTCAGCCCGCCCCTCCCCTGGTGCTCGCCCGGGCACCTTTGAAGGTCTTGCCGCAGATCTGGCAGAAGTGGGGGCGGCCCTCCTGGTGGCGGCTGGCCACGTGCCTCAGGAGGGGCCCCTTCTCGGTGAAGCGCTGCTCACAGAACTCACAGCTGAAGGGCCTCTCGCCTGTGTGGGTGCGGTTGTGCTTGTCCAGGCTGGCTGTGGGGACAAGGCAGGGCTCGACCGCTGGCCCTCGGCCCGGGGCGAGGGGCCGCACAGGACAGGCCGCCTCACCTTGGGTCCGGAAGGTCTTGCCGCAGAGGTGGCACTGGAAGGGCTTCTCGCCCGTGTGTGTGCGCAGGTGCATGTTGAGGTTGGCCTTCTGGGTGAAGGCGTGGCTGCAGAACTCACAGACGTGCGGCCTCTCATTCCTGTCCGGGGGCAGAGGCAGGGCCCATCACTGAGGGGAGCCAGTGGGTGGAGGGAGGGCCACCTCGATCCTGGGGCACCATGGAGCAGCATCACAGACAACCAAGGAAACCAGGAAAGGGCCCGGAGGGAGGGGGCCTGTGGCTGCCTGAAGCCTGCCTGCCCCCCAGCTTCTTGGGGACCCACGACCCTGCTCGTCCCAGAAGAGCTGCAAGCAAAAGATTCGCAGGAACAGGAACCCTCACCCACAAGGAGCAGCAGCTCCCCGAGCCGGTCGCCCACCCGTGCCAGGACGACCAGCAGCTCCCCGAGCCGGTCGCCCACCCGTGCCAGGACTCCCCGAGCTGGTCGCCCACCCGTGCCAGGACGACCAGCAGCTCCCCGAGCCGGTCGCCCACCCGTGCCAGGACGACCAGCAGCTCCCCAGCCGGTTGCCCACCCGTGCCAGAACGACCAGCAGCTCCCCGAGCCGGTTGCCCACCCATGCCAGGGCCCCAGCGAGCGCAGCACCTGTGTTTAGCCTTAATGTGCATCTGCAGGCCGTTGCGGCTCGAGGCCCGGTGCCCACACTCCTCGCACACAAAGAGCTTCTCCCCGCGGTGCTTGAACGCCTCATGGAGCTGCAGCTCCGTCCGGGACAGGAAGCACTTGGCACAGGTGGGACACTAGAGTAGATGGGTCAGGCAAAGGGGCCGGGGTGAGGACAAGGAGTCCTACAGGCCTGCGTCCCAGAGGTGACAGCAGGGACCACTTCTGGACAGACACAACCCCTCCCTCCTGCTGGAAAAGCCCTGTGGGAGTGTGCCCAGCCCCTGCCCTGCCTGGCTCTTACCGCATGGGGCTTGGGGGCGCCATGCAGCTTGATCATGTGACTCTGCAAGTCCTTCTTCTGCATGAACTGCTGGGGGCAGGAGGAGCACTGCAAGACAGGCCCCATGCTCTCAGGACAGCCGGTCCTGGCAGTGCCCAGCGCCTGCCCCCTGTATCCTGCTACCCAGGCCACACCCAGGGACATGCTGACCTGCCCTCCAGGGAAGCAGACAGGACACCCCAAACGGCCTGAAGGCACGGCTGTAGCCAATGGCCCGACCACAGGTGTGGTGGACCGTGGATAGACAGGGAAGGCAGCTGCTTAACAGCCACTACGGACAAGACGCATGACCCTTCCCCTGGCAGGGGCCATGGGGGCCACGGGGGTGGGACCCCAGGGACGGCTGAGCTGACCTTGTAAGGCATCTCGCCCGTGTGGGACACCATGTGCAGCCGCAGCTCCATCCTCCGGCGGAAGCTCTCCTGGCACAGGGAGCACGTGAAGACCTGGCAGTGTGAGGGCAAGCAGGGCCAGGTCAGGCGAGGCCTCTGCCTACGACGGCAGCCTCTGCAGGGGCTTCCACTCGCTGCTGCCAAGACTCTGCCTGGGGCGGGGGTGCAGGGTAGGAGAGGCGACACGTAACCTGCCTGCCCTGACCCCACTGACACTGCACCCACCACGCGCCAGGCCTGCCCAGGCCGGAAGAGCAGAACAGGACCAAGCAGCCCGACCCACCGACCCAGGCCTCCAGAGAGAGAAGGGCGGGTCAGCCGCCCCTACCCCACAGGCCCACAGTGGGAGCGGCAGTGTGGGAGGCCTTTCCCAGTGGCGAGCATCCACTGGGGCACCCCTTTGCCACCAGCCCAGTGGGCAAAACCAAAAAGTCTCCCCCAAGGTCTGGCCAAGGCTTGTCCCTTCTGCCTCAGGGACCTGTGCCCCACTACCCCAGGACACAGAGTTGATGACTCAAGTTTGCCAGACGGCATGAAGACCAAGCCCCACGCAGGCCTGCCCACAAGCACAGGGCCAGCCCCTGGTACCTGCTCAGAGCGGTTCATGCAGTTCCGGGCCTCGTGTTCCAGCAGGTTCTCCTTCCGGAAGTAGCACTTGCCACATTTGGGACATTCGAAGGGCTTCTCCCCAGTGTGCTTCCTGCCAGGCAGAGGAACCAACAGCAAGTGGGGGCTGAGGAGACCACTCACCTCTCCCTCACCCCTCACTCTGCCACACAGCAAGGAAGTGAGATGTCTTGAGGCCAGCCATGGTTCACTGGGTGGGCTTGCTCAGACCTTGACTGGCGTACACACAGGGGCAAGCCCAGAAACTGTCGCTACCATGCAGTCACTCAATGAGGACCAAGGGCCAGTGCTGTGCTAACATTTCTGGCAGGCGCCATCCGCAGCCAGCACGGTGCTCAGCAGGGCAGGCCACCCTGGAGGGCGGGCTCACCTGGCACGCCATTTGAAAGCCCAAGTGACCCAGCGTCAGCTCCTGACAACCCAGAGAACCAGGCCCCGAGCCGCCACTTGATGCACGTAACATCTCCGAGCCTACCAGGGAAGCCACCCACCTGCTCTCCCCGCCCCAGGCAGCTTTCCCTGCAGGTGTAAGTTCAGTAGCCAGAAAGAATTAAATGTGAGCCGGCGGCTGGCACCATGGCCTAGTAGGCTGACCTTCCCACCTGCAGCACCGGCACCAAATGTGGGCACCAGTTCATGTCCCAGCTGCTCCACTTCCCTTCCAGTTCCCTGCTTGCAGCCTGTGAAAGCAGCAGAGCACGGCCCAAAGCCTTGGGACCCTGTACCCACATGGGAGACTAAGGGAACGCGCCCCATGACAGAGACCTCACGACGTCATCACTCAAGGCCAATTCAGCATTCAGAATCCCCTGATGGCACCTCAGGGCACCCAGCGGAACGCAGAATCCCCTGGTGGCACCTCAGGACACCCAGCAGAACGCAGAATCCCCTGGTGGCACTTCAGGACACCCAGTGGAACACAGAATGCCCTGGTGGCACTTCAGGACACCCAGCGGAATGCAGAATCCCCTATTGGCACTTCAGGACACCCAGTGGAACACAGAATCCCCTGTTGGCACTTCAGGAAACCCAGTGGAACACAGAATCCCCTGTTGGCACTTCAGGACACCCAGTGGAACACAGAATGCCCTGGTGGCACTTCAGGACACCCAGCAGAACGCAGAATGCCCTGGTGGCACTTCAGGACACCCAGTGGAACACAGAATGCCCTGGTGGCACCCAGTGGAACACAGAATGCCCTGGTGGCACTTCAGGACACCCAGTGGAACACAGAATGCCCTGGTGGCACCCAGTGGAACATAGAATGCCCTGGTGGCACCCAGTGGAACACAGACTACCTCAGGCTCCCCACTGGCGGCGGCTGCCCTAGCAGAGCATGCCCTCCCCCTTCTAGTGGGACGCTGGCAGCTTCCTACAGAGGCCCACTGACGTGTGTGTGTGGTCCGGCCTAGCTTGGCAGGAGAGAGCAAAGTGGGGGCCTAGAGACGCTCTGGGTGGGCACCAGCAGGACTGGAAGGCATGTCACCCTGCTGCCACTTCCGCCCCCAAAGCCTCACAGGACAAGAGAGCGCTCTGCAATGCAAGTGCCTGGTCCCTGAGCCCACAGCCAGCACTGCCACGGAGCACCAGGGACGTGACCAATGCGGTGCGCCCCGAACCCACAGCCACCACCGCCAGGGAGCACAAGCTGGGGTGCACCTGGGGTGTGACCAGTGCGGTGCGCCCCAACATGTTTTCCACATTTGAAGGCGCCTACAGTGAACACTGCCCAGGGCCTCCTGGCTGCGCTATCAGATGCTGCAGCTTCAGTCCACGGGCTTCTCCGCTGCCCCAACACCCCTCAGCTATCTCCCTAGAAACAGGAAGCCCCAAACCCACAAAACAGCACCCCGGTCCAAGACGCAAACTGAAGCTCTGAACCCCAGGACCGCGCCCTCACCGACACAGGAGCCCCAGGCTGCTCTCACCCCCTTGGCAGATGCCAGATGTAGGCCAAGGTCTGCAGTGGTCGGGGCCTGCTGCTAAGGTGTCCACAGACCCTGCCCCCCCAAGCAGAGGTCACAGGAGGACGGGGAGGACGGAGCCAATGCAAAGCCAGGTGCTCCCTGCCCATGACCAAAGCCGGGCACTCTGGGGGCCTGACTGGAGCCCAGCATGGCGTCACAGTACTGCCCCTTCTCCCGCTGCCCAGGGCCAGAACACCAACGGGGTACCCACCTGTTGTGGACCTTCAGGTAGTACTTGCTGAGGAACTTTTTATGGCATGTGGGGCACTCAACAGGCACGGCTGTCCCTTTTCTGTTCTCGGCAGCTTCCGTGGCACCCGCGCCTAGGGCTGGCTTGGTGCCACACGGCTTTCGGAGTTGGCTGGACTTGCGCCGGGTCAGCACGGGCTCGGACTCCGACACGGAATCACCAGCACCGTCCTCCACCTGGACCACCACCTCCCACTGCGGCACACGGGCAGGGACAGGGTCACCTGAGGGGACCCAGCTCCACATCCAGCCCAGGCCACCCCCGGGACACGCCCCTTCATCAGGGACCCGGGACAGATGCACGGCCCTGCCTGTGGAGAACCCAAAGCCCAACCAGACTTCATTACCCTGGGGAGACAAGGTCCCCTGGCATGGTCCGGGCACCCCCAGGAAGCTGGCACAGACCACATCAGCTGCTGGCCCCGCCCAGGCCCCCGCCTCCCCCAGTCCCAGCTCCCCGGGCACAGTACCTCATGCCTCTCGTCCTGCAGTTGGGCACCTTCGGCCTCCAAGGGCCTGGGGGGCACTCTGCAGTCCTCCGGCTCCTTGTCCTCCGAGACACCAGGGTTCAAGGCCTGCCTGAACTTCCCACGCAGGAAGGAGGGGCTGGCACCCTGAGCGTGGGGCTGGAGCGAGGCAGCCTGGGGGCCGGGGCTGCCCTGGGGCTCCCCGGGGACCAGGCCCAGCGTCCTGGAGAGCGGCTCTTCCTGCAGTCCCACCGGCTCCGGGAGGTGGCTGTCCACCCCCTGGCAGACAGCTCGGCCGCTCGAGGCCTGTCCCCCCGTGGCTTTGGGCTTGAAGCTCTGGCACAGCTCCACAGCCTCGGGCACTCGCAACTCCCTGGCAGCCAGGAGCACCTGATCCCGGTTCCCTGAGGTGAGGGCAAGGTGGCCGGTGTAGAAGAAGTCCAACAGGAGGCCAAAGATCTCGGCGAAGCCGGCGGGGAGGACCACGCTGCCCCCGGGGCCTTCGCCGTAGAGGCTCTGGAAGAAGTGGCTGCAGCAGGCCAGCACGCTCCAGTGCGCCTTGAACACCAGGCCCCCGACGTCCAGCGTGGCGTCGCAGTACTGCCCCTTCTCCCGCTGCTTGTTGAGCTCCTGCAGGACTCGCACGCTGTGCTGCACGAAGGAGCCGTCCATGGCGCGGCCAGAGCGAGGCTAAGCCCCTGCACTTGAGGGAGAAAGAACGCGTTAGACGGCACTGGTCAGCCCACGCTGCGCCGAACGAGGGCTTGGTCAAGGTGACAGGTGCGCGCAAGAGGAGCCCACTGTCAGCCTGCGGGGCCAAAAGGGACAGGTGGTCGGGGCGCCGGGGACACTGCACGGGGCTGGCGGGGCGCCCGCTCCGTCGGCAGCCCCCCGGTAAGCGGGGTCCGGAGCGGCCGGGCGGAAAGCCTGCCGGGGCCTCCCGCCCGCCTCGACCCCTAGCCGGACTCACAGGCCCCGCCACCCGCCGCAGACACAGCCCGCGGACCTCAGCCCTGGCGCTGCGTGCCCAGCCCACCCTGCCGGACGCCGTCGGCGTCGCGCCGGACGTGGCGTCAGGGCGCGCCGGCTCATCGGGGCGCTACGGGAAGCGCAGACCTGAGAGCCCCAGCCCCACCCCTGAGGGCGGGGCCTCTCCGAAGCCACCAATGGAATCTAGAAGGGGGCGGGACAAGGCCCGGATCTTTTGTCGCGGTTGCCTGGCAACGCCAAGCCAGGCGGCACCTCCTGAAGTCTTCCCTAGGGACAGGCGAGGTGGCTCAACAGGTTAATTCTGACTTGCACTCCAGGCACCGTATATGCATGTCAGTTCAAGACCCGACTGTTCCACCTTGGACCTAGAGCACTGCTTATGGACTGGGAAAGAAGCGGAGGATGGCCCAAGGCCTTGGAACCCTGCACCCACATGAGCTTCAGAAAATGCTCCTGGCTGCTGGCTCCTGGCTTTGGATCAGCACAGCTCCTTGCTCCTTGTGGTCATTTGGGGAGTAAACTATCAGATAGATCCTTCTCTCTGTAAATCTGTCTTTCAAATGAAAATAAATAAATCATGAAGTGTCCCCAGACAGGAAACTAAGCCAAAACACAAGCACCCATTTCACCTTCTTTATTGGCAAGCTGGAGCCTATGCTGGGCTCTCCATGCACTTTCACATCCCAAGCCAAGACTGGGTTACCCAAAGGCCTCCTGGACTTCCCAGACCTCGGCAGCACGCCTGGAGTCCACCCCAGAGGTTAAAATCCACTGTCCTCAAACAATCTGGAGATTCCATGAGCCGGGAGTGGGAATGGGCCCATTAGGGAAATAGTGGGCTCCTCCCTCTTGGGTTACCACTCCCACTGGAGAGCATGAGAACCAGGACTGGGGCAGGGGTGGCTAGACATAATGGCACCCACCGACATGTGTGTGGGCTGGATAGTGGAGCTGGTTAGGTTGAACCAGGCTTCAATGCCTATTGACATGTATGAGAGCTGAATGGGATGTGGGACAGTCTGGACCAGTCTGCTGTAAATACTGGCAAGCACAGGAACCAGGGCAGGGGCGGGCCTGGTGGGGGTTATTCTGGATAGCTCCAACTAGGCTGCAGCTCCCAACGGTTTGTGTGAGGGCCAAGTGTGTGGTGGGCAGCATCAGACTAGACTGCAACTGGTTCATGTGGAAGACAGGGCTGGAGACAGAACTGACCCAGCAATTGCAACCAACAGCATGTGCATAAGCCGATTGGGGTAACGGACTGTGCCGGGCCCTGCACTGGCATACACATGCAAGAATCAGGTCTGGGATCACTTCAGGCAGCTTCTATGGGGATCCTGCCAACTGAACTGCTGATCTCAGAACCCCAACCATGAAGAGAGGTGCAGGTTCCCTGGTCTGACCATGGAGTGCCAGTGTCAGAGCCGAGCCTCCTCAGAGGCTCAGATGGAGTAGTGGACAGCATATCCAGGTGCACAGGAGGACAAGGCATTGGAGCCTGCAGAGGACACCTGGTACCGCAACAGGACGGAGGACAGAACAAATCCATCAACGGCCCCAGCCACGTTTTGGAGGTGAAAATCTAGGCAAACGAAGAGTCTAAGGTGAACTATGTCAGCCAGTGGATTCTGGAAAGATTTCACCGTGCTTGGAGAGGCAAGATTGGCAGCAATTCAGACCTATTGAACTATCAAAACTACTTGAAAAGGACAGGCCCAGTGGCCTAGTAGCTAAAGTCCTCGCCTTGAGCAAGCTGGGATCCCATATGGGCGCTGGTTCTAATCCCAGCAGCTCCACTTCCCATCCAGCTCCCTGATTGTGGCCTGGGAAAGCAGTCAAGGACAGCCCAAAGCCTTGGGACCCTGCACCCGCGTGGGAGACCTGGAGGAGGTTCCTGGCTCCTGGCTTCAGATTGGCGCAACACCGGCCGTTGCGGTTACTTGGGGAGTGAATCATTGGATGGAAGATCTTTCTCTCTGTCTCTTGTTCTCTCTGTATATCTGGCTTTGCAATAAAAACAAATAAATCTTAAAAAAAAAAAGACTACTTGAGCAAGACTCTTGGAGCATACCCCACATCAGGGACCTGGGGTGGTCAGATGCTGGGTGGGGCTTCTCCCTTTATCTCTCCCCTCCCCCAGAAACAGAAAAAAAGAGAGAGAGAAAATGTGGAAACAATGGTCTTACCCACTTTCCTGTAGCCCTTGACCCTTTGCACCCTTATCAACTATGTAAAGATCATCAAAGAGAAGCAGAAGACTCGGCTGCCCTCAGCTTGTCCCTGTCTGGTGCCCTGGTCAGGAGGAACCACAGCGCCTGGTGTAGTCTTGGATGGAGGCCTGGAAGTGCTGTGTGGTGTTGAGGTCCGGGCGGCAGAGGATCACATAGCACTTGGGGAGGAAATAGCCGCTGAAGCCACTGCTCAGGCTGATGAGGCCGGTCAGCACACGCACGGCGGACAAGTACTTGCCGCGGTAGACACTGACCATGGTGAAGAAGATGACCCAGGACACGAAGTTGAGCAGCAGGCTGCAGGTGACACACTTGGCTTCGTTGTAGTTCTCGGGCAGCTCCTTGCCCAAGTAGCTGCAAGTAAAGGCGCAGGCCGAGAGGACGATGTTGTAGGTGAAAGCCAGCATGAACCCCGCGGAATGGGCCTCTGTGCACTCCAGTAGCACCAGCTGGGGCATGTAGCCATAATCCCTGATGGGTACAGGGGTCCACACGGCCAGCCACATGAGACAGATGAGCAGCTGGACCACCCCGCTGACTGCCACAAACAGGCCGGCCCCGTGGTTTTGGGCCCATGTGTGGTAGAATGGTGGGACCTTGGTGGAGAACTTGAAGATGATGACCAGCTGGAAGGAGCGAATGGTCAGGCAGGACAGGAAGACAGCAAATCCCAGGAAGTGGGGGGCATGTTGCAGCAAGCAGGAGGTTGGCGTGGGCTCCCCAAAAGAGCCCAGGAGGCTGCAGCTACCCACCGCCAGGGAGCCCAGCATGAGGAAGCCCAGGCTGCCACCCGCAGACTTCACAACAGGAGTGTGAAAGTGCCAGGCGAACAGGCTGGCTGTGGCCAGCAGCAGCAGCAGCAGTAGCGTGTCGGCTGTCAGGAGCACCCAGGAGATGGGCTCGTCCCAGGTCAGCACGGCCACAGTCCGTGGGAAGCAGGTGGAGCTCCCCTCGGGTGACCACTCTTCCTGGCCACAAGGCTGGCAGCTGTGTGGGTCTGAAAGGGAAGGCGCAGAAGGTTCTGGCAGGTCCAGGATACAAGGTTTATCTGGTGATTGGCACAGCCAGCCCTAGGAAAGGGGCCTTGCCCACCCTCTCCCTGATCCATCATCCCAAGTTGTCCCCTGCCCCCCGCTGGGCTCTGAGCCCCGATTCTGAGGACAGAAGAGATGCAGTCCCACTGCTCCATGGGCCAGCATCCTTAGCGACCTGCCCCTTGCACTGCTGGCTGGGAGGTGCCTTGCGGAGATGCTGCAGCCTGCCCGCACAGAAGCCCTTCCGGTGCCAGTGAGTTTTAGAAAAAGCACCAGAAGGGCTCTGTGCAAGGACAATGGGAAGATAGCAAGTGTGTTTGGATTCAGGATGAAACAACACATCAATAGAAGGCAAGGGTTTCCAGCTGGCTGCTGGCAGCTGTCTTCCACCCTGTACCTCACAGTGACACAACACAGGCTGACTATGCCCCCCACTGTGTGCTGTGTGCATCCTGCTGAGCCTTCCCGCTCCCCCCACTCACTCACCACTCATGTTGAGGAAAGTCCCGGCCTCACAAGGCACACACAGGAAGCAACAGTGGTGAAAACCCACGACCACTCGCTGGTGCCCGTCCAGACAGTCGCTGGAACACACCGACGGAGGTACCTGGAAGAGGCCACGGGTGTCCTGCAGCGCCACGGAGGAGCCCAGGTGAGAGACAGCTCATCTCTGCACGGGGGCCCGGCACCATAGTGCAGTGGTTAAAGTCCTCGCCTTGAATGTGCTAGAATCCCATGTAGGCACCTGTTCTAATCCCAACAGCTCCACTTCCCATCCAGCTCCCTGTTTGTGGCCTGGGAAAGCAGTATAGGACAACCCAAAGTTTGGGACCCTGCACCCGTGTGGGAGACCCAGAAGAGGCTCCTGGCTCCTGTTCAGTTCAGCTCCAGCCGTTGTGGCCGCTTGGGGAATGAACCATCGGACGAAAGATCTTCCTCTCTGTCTCTCCTCCTCTCCGTATATCTGCCTTTCCAATAAATAAACAAATAAATAAATCTTTAAAAGAAGAAAAAGAGTTTCTACACAGTGCATAGGGCAGATCTCCTGAATGAGTGAGCCGGTGCCCAGCTGGACACCTGTCTGCTAGCTCCCCTAGCAAGACTGGGTACAGGGTTTTTGACTTAGTACCTGGAGCACCCTTTCTGCCTGGCATAACTCAGTCAGCATCACCCCCAGGCTGTCCATGAGTCAGCCAGCTGCTGAGACGGGCATGGTGGTGCTGCCGGTTAAGCTGCCTCCTCCAAGCTGGCATCCCATGAGTGCCAATTGGAGTCCCACTGCTCCACTTCCAATCCAGCTCCCTTCTGACGAGCTTGGGACAGCAGCAGAAGGGGGCACTTTTGCCTTTCCCACCCGTGGGGGGACCAAGAAGAAGCTCTTGCATCCTGGCTTTCGCCTGAGGACGTGCTATTGTGGCCACTGGGGAGTGCGCTCTCCCCACCTGCCGAGCGGGCACAGCCCCGTTACCTGGTTGTCCTCTCCGGGCCACTGGATTTTGGTCTTATCTATGTCCAGATGAACTGAAGGCCACATAAAGGATCCAATGACAGTGAAGGCCCAGCGGGGCCCGCTCCAGTCCCAGGCGACTATGTCGTAGCCACTGAGCGGGTCCCCGATGTCGTCAAACATCAGAGTGTCCTCATGCAGCTGGAAGCTGACTCTGCGGATCTCCTCCAGAAGCTGAAACCAGCAACACCACGTTCAGAGCACAGGGAAGCCAGGGCATGGGCGTCCTGAGGCTTCCATCCTGGGAGACTTCAGTCCACCCAGGTGGTCTGGTGCCTGCCTTCCTGAGCGCCCTGTACCCTCCTGGGATGCCCTTTCACCTGCCCAATCAGCCCTCTCACAGGAGACCTGTTGCAAAGGACTCTTTCGTAAAGGTTTTTAGCTCCGGCCACTTTTAATGCCTGGCAAACAGGAGACAGGTTCAGAGAAAGGATTTATCTAACGGAGGAGACCAGCCCCTCGCCTCCCGGCCCCTCCTGCTGCTGTCAGGATTGGCTGCTCTGCCCAGTCCAGGGTATCTGGGGCTGGGCTTTCTTACCTGCCAGGGGTAGAACTGGCCTTTGGAGCAGACTCCAGAGGCACAACCCAGGAGCTGGTGGAGGCCGTGGGCCACGGCGTACACTGCCCGGTATGCATTGTAGGCTGCACTCATGGAAAAGGCTCCCAGAGTGGGCATCCTGTGTTCTGTGAACGCTTGGCAATCTTGGCAGAGCTGGTTGGCACTGCACCAGGACCCCCTGAGGCAGGGCCCAGGGGCCACCTTGTGTGCCCGGGCGTAGGCCTCCTCAAACTGCCGCAGGCCGGGGACGAGTCTCTGCTGGATGGCCACGCCCAGCACCGTCCCCACGGCCCGGATCCCAGGCAAGCTGGAGATGTGCGTGGAGATGGCCCAGTCCTCCGAGGCGATCCACACCTTGCCGGTAAGATTGGCCAGCACCACAGACCGGAAGAGCACCAGCGCCGTTTGCCGGCTGCTGTAAACCACCACAACCGTGCTGTTGCAGCGGATCAGGTTGGCTATGATCTCCTGCATCTTCTGGTCGCGCGGCCGGGCGGAGGACGGCACGGTGTCCTTGTAGGCGACACAGATGCCCTGTGGCGTGGCCAGCTCCACCAGCGCCTGCACTCCCAGCTGGCCGTAGTAGTCGTCACTGCCCAGCAGCGAGACCCAGACCCAGCCGAAGCTCTGCAGCAGCAGAAGCATGATCTGCACCTGGTGCTTGTCGCTGGGGATGGTACGCAGGAAGGAGGGGTACTGCGGCTTCCCGCTGAGCGCCGTGCTGCTCGCCTCGTAGCTGATCTGTGGGGGGTCCGGCAGCCATTTCAGAAGCATCTGCCTGAACCCAGGGTCCCCCCCCCCCTCCGCCAAGCTGTACAGCCTGCATTTGGGTCCCTGTGCTAGCTGTGGGAGAACAGCACGCGTCAGAACAGGGTGACAAGTCACAAAGAGCCTCGTGCAGGCCAAGGAAGAAGTGGGCACCTCACGGGAGGGGTAGGGGGAGCCTGCAGTCAGAGCCCAGCAAACAAAACCAACCTCCAGGGAGGTGCTGGTACTGGGTGTCTGGGGACCTCAGGGCTTTGTGCTCAGCTGCAGTTCTTGCGCCAGGAAGAAAGAGCACTGGGCAGGGCAGGACAGGGCAGAGGGTGGCAGAGGGGCTTAACTCTACAGCTAAAGGCCGTGCTTTTCAGCCTGCAGGCCACCGAGGAGCCCCACAGGGTTTCTACAGGGAACAGAGCTGAAGAGGGTAGTGTAAGGACTTATTCCCATATCCCACCCTGGACCCTGCGCCATTTCTTCTTCCTCACTGCTCACAGAATTCGCGCCAGTCCAGCCATCCACCAATCAGATGTAACCTGGCATTCCACCTGAGAATCCCACCCCCAATCTCCCAGCCCCTTCCCCAAACCCGCCCACTCACCAATCATCCCCAGGCATTCACCTGCAGGCACCAATCCCCTGGGGCCTTGACCTCAATCCCTCCCAATCCCCGCCCCCCCCACACCTGGCAGACAAAAAAGGCCCCCAGGTGCGGTTCGCCCCTTTTTGCTCTCTCTCTCCCTCTCCTTGGTTCCTCTCCCCTGCTCTTCCTCCCTTCCCTCCCCTTCCCCTGTTCCTGCCCCACTCGGTTCTCTCTCTCTCTCTCTCTCTCTCTCTCTTGCTCTCTCTCTCTCTCTCTTGCTCTTGCTCTTGCTCTCTCCTTGGTTCCTCTCCCCTGCTCTCCCTCTCCTCCTTCTTACCTCCCTTCCCCCTCCTTCCCCTTCCCTATTCCTGCCTCGCTGGAATAAACTTCCTAAGATATGTCGTTGCGTCTGGTGTTTTCAGCTCACGGTAAAGAACCAGGTTGCGAGAATTAGCTGCGGCGTAAAGTATCTTAATATCGTATAACCTAGCACTAGAACTCTTACATTCTTTTAAATAACTAACATTTGGTGCCGTGACCGGTCGGTTTCCCCCGGCACTTGGCCACGTGGCCTTCGGGCCTTTGGCCACTACCGGGACCCGAACCGTGAGAACTGTGATCTGTGTTAACTGTCTTCATCTGCGCCACCGAGACTCGTCAGCAGCCGTCAGAATCCGTCTCCATCCGCCCGCTGGTTCGTGAATTCATCTCCAACGGCCTGTTCCTGATTTTGCCTTCTTCGGCCTGTTCCTGATTTCGCCTGCCGGTTCCAGAATTCTCTACCTCCACGTGGCCGTTCCTGAGTTCATCTAACTGACCGTGCTGGCATCTGCATCCATCCAGCAGCGCCATTGCCCAGACGCGTGCTCCCCGGTACTCCATCTCCACGCGGAGCACACGAGGTATTCCCCATCTTTCCGAATGCCAAGTTGTTGCATGCATACACTGTTGTAGATAGGGTTCCCTTCCTCAGCCCTTGGAGTTTTGGGTTTGGCTTGGCATATTTGTGCTCCTCTGAATAGGTCTGATTTTCCACTTCTGGGAGTTTTTGGGAGACCGGTTCTGTAAACCCCGGCTGAGTGCTGTGTCTCTTAGCCACTGGGCGGAAGTCCCCCGACCACTGGGTCACTCTGGGGGCCCCCCTGTACCTCCGAGTCGGGCCACTGGGCTGTTAACGACTTCGGATACAGGCGGTGTTTGGGGACCTGGCTCGTCCCTTACGTAGGGGGTGACGACCTTCTACGAGAGCCGTCTTTTCCTGACCACTGGGTCTGACCACTGGGTCGTTTTTACGGACCACTGGGTCCACCTTGGTAAACCCCAGCCGGGTGCCGTGTCTCTTAGCCACTGGGCGTAAGTCCCCCGACCACTGGGTCACTCTGGGGGCCCCCCTGTCCCTCCGAGTCGGGCCACTGGGCTGTTTACGACTTCGGATACAGGCGGTGTTTTGGGGACCTGGCTCGTCCCTTACGTAGGGGGTGACGACCTTCTACGAGAGCCGTCTTTTCCTGACCACTGGGTCGCTTTTATGGACCACTGGGTCCACCGTGGTAATCAGTCCTGAGTTGTAATAATGGGAGCTATTTTTTCATTGCCAGTTCCTCCCAACTCCCCTTTGGGCTGCCTTCTAGCAAATTTAGACACCCTTGAATTGGCTTGTTACCTAAAACTTTAATACGCCTCTGTGTTGTGGATTGGCCCCACTATTCCCTAGCTAACTCCTTCAAGTGGCCAGTTAATGGCATTTCGGATCCGGACATCTTTCGGAACCTAGCTCATTGCTGCATGCATTCGGAAAAATCGGGGAAGTCTCATTCCCTCTTCACTCTCGGCTTTCTGTCTGTCTTTTCCGTAGTTTTCTAGCTATGAAGTAGGAAACCCCAGTGCCCTCTTCCAGGGCCCTGGTGCCACGTGCAACCGCCATCTTATCCTCCATGTGCAGTCGACCCCCACCCTCTCTGTCCGCCATCTTGCCTTTTCTCTCCCTGCCATCCCCCACTGTTTGAAGGTCTCCATTTGCTCCCCACTGGGAAGCAAAGATTTCCTGTTTAGAACTTTTCTGTTTTAGCCCTTAGCCTAACTTGCTCTCCCAGTTTCTTTTGTCTTGGCCACATCCAAACACCCTAAGGCCTACATTTCTGTAGCTTTCCCTCCCACCCCTTAGCAGAGAGGGGTGGAGTAAGAGATAAGTGATTTAGCCTTTCTTTTAAAAAAAAAAGGAAAAGAAAAAATGCAACTTGTTCTGTAACTTAATGTAATGTGAAGTAAATAGATGCTTACGTTTGTTTCTAGGTTCCAATAGATACTATTGCATCCATTGCAGATAGAGCTAAAGTTAAACAGTAAGCTACAGGTTCCAACTGAAAGCATCTTTAATTTGGGTTACTGAAAGCAAGATATAATTCTAAATAACTGGTAACTTTAAGCTGGTAACTTTAAAGCATTTTGAAACTTTAAACTTGTTTTTCAAAAGCTGTTTTGTTTTATAATCTGTGTTAACTGATATGCATGTACATGTTTATGTGGCAAGCTATGTAGTCTATTTAATTAACATAGATGAAAGTGTTCATAGATGAAAATTGCTAAGTTAAATCTCTTCATTTTGTAAATAATTCCTTGAGATTAGGGCCACAGAGAAATCCTCCAATTTAGAATGCTTGAGGAATGACTGAGTATATTCCATTAGATCCTATACAGAAGAGAATAGGTGCTGTATAGATGCTAGATTCTTAACTACCCTGGACGTTAGGACAGAACTTTAGAAACTTACAAATGGGACCTGAACATACCCTGATATCCTCTTAAAGGGGTCACTATGGTCTTTACCTTAAAGACCAGGAGGGGATCCCATGGCAGAGCAGGATGAGAGAGGTGTGTGCTCCTGGTTCCAGTGAGACCCCCAGAGGCCTCCCAAGTGCTCTTCGTTGCAGAAGCAATGGACACTTCGCGAAGAATCATCAGAAAGGACACCCAGGGCCGTGTCCCAGCTACCAAGGAGGTCACTGGAGATGTGACTGCCCCTGAAGGCCAAGTACTTCAGGTCAGTCATTTCCCATTGGATCTCCCACATGGGACAGGAAGCAGCCCAGGAACCTGCACAGGCTCAAGGCCATCCACGGACTTCGGTGACACCACGGAACAGCACCCAAGAGCCCCGGGTGGTTCTCACAGTGGAAGGGAAAACTGTAAGTTTCCATCTGGACACTGCCTTCTCTATCCTAGCTAGCTTTGGCTTCTTCCCTCTTACAGTGACCATCAGGGTCTCTCAGGAGCCCCGAATTAGCTTAGGTGACAGAGTAATCTAGAAGCTCAGAAAAGAAGCCATTTTGAGGGAAAAGTTAGTTAACCTGTAACTGTTCAGCCTGCATCAATGACCAGGCTCCTGATAGACATGCTTGCCATCTCGCTCTTCAGTTTTACTAGACTTCACTGAGGTAGGATCCCTGAACTGTCATAAGGTAGACTTCATGTCCTCCTTATTTGCCGAGTCATTTCGGATTTCTCAGCTCATCTACTTAAGATTCTTATGTTCCTCAATTGCCAGTACATGCTTGTTAACCTGTAAGTTAGTAGATTGCTTGCCTCTGCCTTAAAGTGTATAAAGTTCTGTAAAATCATGTTGGAATACTATAAACTGCTGGGTTATTGTAAACGAAATAGTTTAAATCTTGTGCCATCTACAATGTGACCAGTAGATCTTGTACCAGAATGTTTTAAGTGCTGTGCTTTATGTTCTAGGCTAGATGTCTTCTTGAAACTCTTAGGGCTTACAACGATTGGTAAAGTATAATTGTTTAGAAAAATCAAACACTTGCCCATTCCCTAGCTAGATGCAAAACTACTATAGCATTTCCAAATGGAAGTTGGCTTGCATTTACCTGTATGTTCTGATGCCACATACTAATCCTTTCATTGTTTCAGATAACAATTTTATACAACCGAAAAGGTTTCATGTGTCCCATTGCATTCATTGGGTATGTTTCAAAATTTGGGATGTGAAATAGTTTAGTTAAACCTAATATAAATCTAGTCCATTGTTTTAATCTAATGCAATGTTTCCTCTGACAAAGGTTGAAACCGGACAATTCTTTTATATCTAAGCTTGAAAGCCCAAGTATTCCAACTGGGTTTCTAACTGAACTCATGACCTGCTAAGTTGGGAAAGATTATAATTCTAATATGTTTTGTTATCTAGACCAAGAAAGAGAAGCCTTCAAGTGCCAGGCAGTAGTACTTCAGACATCTGATGACTTCTACCTTCTACCAGGAACCTCTAGAACCCCCCTACTGCTACAGTTGCTCAACGCCCCCTTTCAGCTCGAAGAAGCTAGAGCGGTCGTCGTCCCGTTATCCCTGTTCACTCCTGTTTGGAAATGTGAGGAGTTAGATAGTATGATAGGCAGTCAGGGTCTCTGGTTCCTGGTGAAGCTACTTTGTCTGCATTGACCGTTCAGGAGTAATGAAGTCAGGAGTAATGAATCCAGTATAAGAAGGCCTGCCTAACAGAAAATGAACTCAAGCCAGCTTTTCCAAGGGACTCTTAATAGCCCTTCCCTCCATTCCCATCCACTGAAATGTAAAAGTTCTTTTCTAATCAAACCATTAACCAGTTTCTTTTGCAGGACTAGAAGGGTTCGTCCATCTCCCATTCCTCCCACCAGGCTGCAACCACTGCCAAGAGAAAACAGCTCCTAGAAGCCATAGAGAACAATGCCCCTCTTCCTTTATATATAACAAAAGGGAGGAATATAAGGATTTATTCCAATATCCCACCCTGGACCCTGCGCCATTTCTTCTTCCTCACTGCTCACGGGATTCGCGCCAGTCCAGCCATCCACCAATCAGATGTAACCTGGCATTCCACCTGAGAATCCCACCCCCAATCTCCCAGCCCCTTCCCCAAACCCGCCCACTCGCCAATCATCCCCAGGCATTCACCTGCAGGCACCAATCCCCTGGGGCCTTGACCTCAATCCCTCCCAATCCCCGCCCCCCCCACACCTGGCAGACAAAAAAGGCCCCCAGGTGCGGTTCGCCCCTTTTTGCTCTCTCTCTTCCTCTCCTTGGTTCCTCTCCCCTGCTCTTCCTCCCTTCCCTCCCCTTCCCCTGTTCCTGCCCCACTCGGTTCTCTCTCTCTCTCTCTCTCTCTCTCTCTCTCTCTCTCTCTTGCTCTCTCTTGCTCTTGCTCTCTCCTTGGTTCCTCTCCCCTGCTCTCCCTCTCCTCCTTCTTACCTCCCTTCCCCCTCCTTCCCCTTCCCCTATTCCTGCCTCGCTGGAATAAACTTCCTAAGATATGTCGTTGCGTCTGGTGTTTTCAGCTCACGGTAAAGAACCAGGTTGCGAGAATTAGCTGCGGCGTAAAGTATCTTAATATCCTATAACCTAGCACTAGAACTCTTACATCCTTTTAAATAACTAACAGGTAGAGCAAGCCAGGATGGGAGACTCTGCAGAAAAGTCCCACGGCAAAAGGTGGAGAGAGAGAGAGAGAGAGAACCTGCAGAGAGCAGGGCTGTCTGGAGGACAGATCAAGAAGGAGCCAGCTGGGAGGGACTCCCAAGCCGGACAGGAGCCAGGCCGCAGGAACCAGAGGGACTGAGCTGCACAAGGGGAGAGACCCCAAGCCTTGGAGGCAGCAGGGGAGCAGCCAGGCGAGGGAAGGGAGCCCTGGGCAAGCTGGCAGCAGGGAAGCAAAGAAGGTCTGATTCTCAGCAAAGGCGTGGGAGCTTTAGGGGTAGAAAGAGGGCGTGAGGTTCCACAGCAGGCACACAGGAAGTGGGCTTTCCCATGAGGGCAGAAGCAGGGAATTTCTAGAATTTCTAGGTGGCCCTCAAAGAGGAAGGAAGTCTGAGTCCCCAGGAGCTGGCCTGGCCTCAGAAGGGATGGCAGATGCAGGTCCCACCCAAACTGGGCTAGCTGGAGGGGATAGGCAAGGGCCCACTGCCCGGCCACAGCTTACCAGGGGCACCAGGAAGGGGCCCAGCACGGCGGCAGTGGTGACGGCGTGCTGCGTTGTGTCGGGCCCCACGACTGCCACGACCTTGGGAACGTAGTGCTGCGGGTTTCCTCGGATGGCCACGTGGCGCGTCCCCAGCCGGGAGAGCACGCGCAGGGTGGCATACACGTTGGCCGAGTCGGAGCATACGTCATAGAGCTCATACCCCAGGGTGACATTGGGCAGCAGGGCTGTGGAGTTGTTGATCTCCTCAACGCCAAACCGGATGGCCTGGAAGAGGTGGTAGCCGTGGCCGTTGAAGCTGCCTGGCCTGTGGGGGAAGGGCAGCCAGAATTGATAGGCTTGAAGTCGTGTTCACCGCAGCTGCCCCCCAGACTGTGACCTTCTAGCATCCAAAGGGCAGAGAGAAGTGGCCCAAGTCAACTGCCCCCTACAGGCAACACCTCAGCATGGCCTGGGGACACACAGCGGCAGAGGGCCGTGGGAGGGGCAGGGGCTCACCTGCAGAAAATACACATGCCATGGAGCCCACCTGTTCACTAGGATTCTCTAGGGAAACAACCGTGAACCCTAAGAAGGTGCTGCAAAAAGCAGGTGCAAGACAGAATTGAAAGCTGAGTTGCTTTTGGTGCAAGACTTTTTTTCCCCATAATGTGCATCTTCCACGAACTTTTTGTTGTTCCCTCGTGTCTATAGATACAGAGAGGTTTGTTTTAAGGAACTAGCAGGATTCCAGCGGCTGGCATGTGTAGATTTGTAGGGCAAGCCAGTGTGCCGGGCAAGTGCTGCCGTTATATCCCGGTGTGCAGAGGCGATCTGAAGGCAGAATTCTCCCCTTGCCTGCCCACGGTCTTGTCTGTTACAAGGCCCAGCCCATTCTGGAGGGTCATCTGCTTTGTTCAGTCCATTGATTTAAATGCTAATCACATAAAAAAAAGCCTCCATCATAACATCTAGGCTGGCATTAGACCCAACACCCCTTTCACTTTACCTACACAGGTGGGTACAGAATCAGCAGCTGCTTGCTTAGCCTGACTGAACTCGCACTGCTCCCTGGCACATTTAGAGCCTGTGTGCTCTGTGGCCCCTCCCGGGGCACTGGAACCCAACAGGGCCTTGCTGGAGCCCTGAGGCGGCTCTGTCTGAACCACGTGCTTCTGTCCCCTGAGTCTCCAAGGAGGCTCAGTGCCTTCAGCCGTCTTAGCTGGCTCTCGCCTGGCTGCCTCTCTCCCAGCCCGGTTCACCTCCCAGGCTCCCATTTCCAGCTCTTTGGGCTGGGCTAAGATTTCTAGAACATTCCCCTTTGCCAACGTGTACGACAACCTGTAGCCAAGTTTTGACAGTGCCCTCAGGTCAGGCCTCTGGAACCATCCTTCGTTCAGTCTGCAAATAGTGGTTTTCTCAAACCAGAAGCGGCCATTTTTCACTGACTAAACCTCTGACTTTCTAATTTATCTTTGCCAAATTCTTCAGGTATCAACTATTGCATCTCTCCCCCCACACACATGAATTTAAACCACAAAAAGAAAGAGATCTTCCATGCATTTGTTCATTCCCCAAATGGTCGCGACAGCCAGGGCTGGGTCAGGTCGCCTCCAGGAGCCTGGGACATCAGCTGAAACTTCCACGTGACAGGCAGACTCAAGCACTTAGGCCGCCTTCTGCTGCTCTCTCTCAGGCTTTTTGGCAGGAAGCTGGATCCAAACTAGAGTAACTAGGACCTTAAACAGACATCCTAGCACATCCCATAGGCAGACGGCAGCTTAGCTCACAGTGCCGCAGCGTCAGCACCGGCATCTCCGTATTTGTCCCTTGGGGACTCATGCTTACCATGGATTCACACAGAACTACAATGTAATACAGCAAGGATCGTGGGCGGTTCAACAGGTGACCAGTGGCGACCAGGGCAAGGCAGAGGGGCCCTGACGGCCAGGTGCTGTGCCCCAGGTTACCCATCACTCACCGATCACAGAGGGTCACCTGGGGTCTGTGTGTCACGCGCTGGCATTTCCCGTGCAGAGGGAGCAGGCCGGCCAAGAGGTAGTCCCCAGGGAGGTTGAAGTCCGCCGAGGACTCTGTCTCGTAGCAGCTGAGAGCCCAGGCCAAGGAAAGATGCATGCTGAGCAGGTGAGCCGTGCCCCACAACATGCTGACCAGGTGCCCAGCATGGCCCTGTGGTGCCCCCTGACCAGGCCTGGCTGTTTAAATAGAATGGATGTCAGTTGCGGTGATGCCTGGCCACTTCAGGCCTCTGGAAGGGGTGGGACTGGAGTCAACCATAGAGACCAGGCTGTTTGCCCTGGCCTTCCGGACCTGCGGTCCCACTCAGGAACTGGGCAGGACCAAGGCATGAATGCAAACCAGAGGGTAGCCAAGGACCCCTCCTCTGTATGGTTGTGGGATCTGTCACCTGGCTCTGGGAGTGGGGTCCCTGGCCTCCCACGGAGGGAAGCAGAGAAGCCGAGGAGCAGCCTCCCTGGGTGCCTTAAGCTTGCTGGTTATAGAATGTTGCAGCCCGGGGCCATAGTTAACCACAGGAGACGCACCCCCCTTCCGAGGGGACAGGTCCCCATCCCTGAGCCTGGCCATGCAGGGTTCCTCCATTTGGTCTAGAGACAAATGCATGCAAACAACAGATATGCAAATTGAGCTCTTTTGCTTAAAAAGCCAATGCTAGACCTTTCCAGGTGGATTTCCTGAGAGACTCCTGGCCCCAGGGCAGACTTTTGCATCATGTAAATAGGGGAGCTCTGTCGTCGTGCACTTCCGAAGATCGCCGAGAGAGGGCACCAGCGGCCCGGAGCCCGCCCGTCTCGGTCGCTCTGGGGCTCGCGGGGCGTGGCCTCGGGTTCTCGCGAGAGCCGCGTGCGCCGGGATCCCGGGGAGCCCAACATGGCGGACGCGCCGCATCTCCTCAAGCGGGGTCCGGGCCGTCCCGTGTGGCTGCGGGTCCGCAAATCCCGGCCCAAGCTTATGCTCAGCCGCCGGGCCCGCCGCCGACTCGGCACCTCGCGCTGGTCCAGCCGGCGGCGCGGGCGGCGGCGACTGCTGCAGGCGGCGGCGGCCGACGCGGAGTGGCGGGAGAGCGCCTGCCCGGTGGCGGCCACCTGGCGACCCAAGATCGCGAGCCCCCGTCCGGCTCCCAGCCCGACCCCGGCCCCGGCCCCCGCCCCGAGTTGCCCTGCGAGTGGCCACATCGTGCCCTTGCGGCATCTGGGCCCGGGCCGCGCGCTGCTGCTGCTGCGGGCGGAGCAGGTGGGTGCGCCCCGGCCGGAGCGCGCGGAGGGCGCGGGCCCCAGGTCGGGGGGATCCCTCTAAAGATGTGGGGTTGAGGGGTGGGGGGCGTGCATGGACGCCCGGGAGGGGCAGCGACTGGCCCGGGCCCCGTGATGCAGCCGGGCTGGCCACGGGGGCTGAGCTTGGCTTGAGAATGGACACTGCCCCGCACGGTGCCCAGGACGGTTAGAATCCACTACTTAAAGAGATCAGCTGGCTTTTGTTTTTAGGTAGAGATTTATTTACTCGTGTATTTGAAAGGGAGCACCAGACCATGCCGGGCAGAAGCCAGGACTCTGGGACCGAGCACAGCCTCCCACGGGAAGGCACCCCAGCGCTGGCCCCTCCTCGGCCGCCCCTTGGTGGGGCGGGTTAGGGTTTTCAGAGCTTTGCAGCTGCCTGCTACAGGCTCTGTTCTTTGCCCCACCAGAGCTTTACTTTCAGCGGGGTCTGCCGTCTGACCTGCCTCTACGGCCAGGTGGAGGTGTTTGGCTTTACCCTGAGCCAAGGCCAGCCCGCCCGCGAGGTCTTTTCCGCCTGCACACACTCGTACCTGACCATCAACGCGCTGCACTACTCCATGCCGGAGAGGAGCCGGAAGGAGATGAAGAAGGAGGCCCGTATCGCCCTCAGATCCCACCTCAGCCTGGGTAAGGAGAGCGGCCCTGTGCGAGGGCCCACCTCGTGGCAGGAAGGCCCGGGGTTGGCAGACGCGCGGTGGTCTGGGCAGTATGCCGGCTGCCTGACTGACTTTTTACCATTTTATGCAAGAGAGCACTCGTCTTATTTAACATGGATGGCTTCCTGCAACAGACTCGCAGACATAATTCTTGATCTGAAGAAACAGCCGTTGTAAAAGACGGAGTGGAGTTGCCATTCTTCGCTTTGCCCATGTTTAGGGTCACGGTGAGGACAAGAGCCAGGAAGTGAGGCTTGGTCCTCGGGCCGGATTTTGAAATCCCCAGAGAAGCATCCAGTCTGAAGTCGGTGCTGAGGCATGAAGGTGGTTTGTTCAGGTTAGCCTAGGTCTCCCAGCCCCCTCCCCCGGCAGGGCTGGGCAGGGCAGGGGCAGCCGCAGCGAGGCTGCTGCAGGATCCGCAGGGAGGGCAAAAAGGAGAGAGCCGGCGAGCCAGATCGAGCCCCCAGTTCTTATACATTTTAGGCTATTAATTATACAGTCATGATTTAGCAGGCTTCTATTGGTGGGTTTGAAACAGCAACTTTCAAAAGGTACAAACTGATGAGCTAGAGGGCGGTGGATCTTATCAAACACCAGGTACCTCCTTCCTGGGGAGTGGTCTGCCCGCGTGACCTGCCAGGTGTCCTGCCGGGTGTCAAGACTATCCGGCCTGGAGTTCACACAGCCCCAGCCAAGCCATAAGGCAGAATCACAAAGGCAGAAAACACCTGGGTTCTTCAGTCCTCTCTCTGGGTAGCGGAGTCACGTCTCCCAGAATGCAGTAGCAGGACCAGAAGTGCAGGAACCAGGACTTGAACCCCTGGTGTCCCGAGCAGTGGCTCAACACACCACCCGACCGCAACCGTCTCTTGGTTTTAGCTGATTCATTTGAAAGGCTGAGGAAGAGACCTTTCCCATGGCCCCCAACCCCCATGCCTGTGACAGCCGGGACGGGACCAGGCCAAAGCCAGGAGCCTAAAACCCCCTCTCCTGCCGGGGCAGCAGCTGCTGCTCTCCAGGCTGTACGTTAGCAGGAAGCTGGATCCTAAGCGGACCCATGGATTGTGCTGTTACGAAGATTTCTCTGCAAGAGAAACAGAACAGGGCCTGGTGCGGTAGCCTAGTGGCTAAAGTCCTCGTTCTGCGTGTGCCGAGATCCCATATGGGCACTGGTTCATATTCGGGCAGCCCTGCTTCCCATCTAGCTCTCTGCCTGTGGCCTAGGAAAGCAGTTGAGCGTGGCCCAAGGCCTTGGGACCCTGCACCCAAGTGGGAGACCCGGAAGAGTCTCCTGGCTTCGGATGGATGCAACTCCAGCCTTTGCAGCAACTTGTGGAATGAAGCAGTGAATGGAAGATCTTCCTCTGTGTCTCTTCCTCTCTGTAGATCTGACTTTGCAATAAAAATAAAAAAATAAATCTTTAAAAAAAAAAAAAGAGGGACAGATTGAGAGAGGTCTTCCACCCACTGACTTACTCCCCAAGTGGCTGTAGTGACCTAGGCTTGGCCAGGCCCACAGCCATGGGCCAGGTCGCCTGTGTGGTCTCGGGTAGATAACGCACCCAAGCACTTGGGCCATTACCTGCTGCCTTCCCAGGTGTGTTAGCCAGAAAGTCTAACCCGGAGGGGAGCAGCTGGGTGCCGGAGTCGAGCTCCAGCTGAGCTCGGAACTCGTGAAGGGTGCGTGGATGAGGCGCAAAGAAAGAGAGAGACGGACCACTAGTAACTCTTCATCATCATAATGGACCACGCACAAAAGCTGTCCGCTTTATTTATACAAAATCAGTCAAACTCTGGCTCAGAAATTTACGTCATGGTCAAGTGGGTGTTTCTAAAGATAACTCTGCCATTTGTTTCACCTAAGGCTAGGTTGCTATTCACCTGGTGCCTGGCACCTGGCTCCTGGCTAGGAAAAGGTTCTCAATAGATGGTGCATATCAATCACTAACACATCCCTACCACAATTACTCTACAGCTTGGTCATGAGACAGTCAAGGAAGGAAGGGCTTCACAGGAGGGACCTGAAAGATCCAAGAGGGATAGAGTCCCACTACACCTGAAGACAAAACACCCTTGATTAGCATAGGATCAAAAGGGGAGTTAGCACCCTTGATTAGCTATTGCCACAGGATGCAGCCCCAACAGCAATAACAGCTTTTTGGCTAAAACGGCAACAGCAACATCAGCTTCTAAGCTCCCATTGATATTTAACAGTAACTCCGGCAGAGGCAGACAATGCCTAAACAGATTACAGAAATCTCAATGGGGTTGTCCGGTGTCCATGCAAAGGGAGGCGGAGCTGCAGTCAGGTGTTATAGAGACACAGCGGGACATTCCTTGCGGCCTTGCCTGCAAAGGAACGATGCTCTTCACACCTTCCTGTCTTCCACATCCATCACACAGACACCAGCAGCTGGGACTCAGACTGGTGCTGCAGTGTTCAGAGTCCACGTGCCCAAGGCTGGCTTAGCCCAGTAAGCTGCTGGACCCCAAGCACTTGGCTGCTTGCTAGGTGCCCTTCCCATGCTGCTTGATGGACGGGCTCCCCAAGTCCCCACATGCTGGGCCTGGGCCAGGGCTGGATCCGGAGGCGAGGCAAGCAGCCTAGCTCTCCCCCAGGTTTGGGGGTAACCCAGGTCCTTGGAGGCATTGCCATTGGCTGCTGGACTCGGCCCCTGTCCCGCATCTGTGCCGGGGTCGGTCCTGCAACTCGCCTTTCTCCCTGCAGAGGACAGAAGTTGGTCGATGAAGAACTTTTCTCCCCTGTGCTCCTTTGTGCTGCTCGAGCGTCTGAAGAACTCCACTGTAAACTTCATCAGCAACCACCTGGGCTTGCCTGACGTCTTCCTGCAAGAGGTACAGCCAGCTTCTGCTCTCTGATCGCTCACGCCAGTGCGTCGGTTGACTGTCGCATGCCGCCCAAGTGTGGTGTGGTGCTTTAGAACGAGGCCTTGTGGAAGGCAGGTGGCAGGTGGCAGCCGGCATCGCGCAGGCGTCCTCCGTCTCACTGTTTGGCCTCGCAGCACTGTCCACGGGGGGAGGGCTGGTTTTCGGTGAAGGACGAATGTAGTTTGGATATATTTATACGTCCGTCTCTTGCCACGTCTGAATTCTTGCTGGCCACGTTGCTGGTTCCCTAAAGGCAAGTGCTGTTACTGTAAGTATGTCTTGAGAGCCAGCAGGTTGAATTTAATCTGCACAAGTCGGGGACAGGCCACATGTGGTGTGGGTGGCGGTGGGCCTTCGCACTGGAGCGCGTGGCGTTGCCCAGGCTGGGGGCACACTGGAGCGCGTGGCGTTGCCCAGGCTGGGGGCCTGTAGACCTGGAGTGGCTTCAGTGGAGATTGGATCAGGTCGTGGAATGTGAGTCCACATTGCTGGGAGGATGGTGGGCGAGGGATTGGGAACCCATAGCCACAGGGGATGCCGGGGGGCTGGAAGACAAGATTTTGACCCCGCGGGAGGGATCCTGGGCAAAGAGGGCCCCACTGGGAAGGTTGCTGGTGGGCAGCCAACAACCTGTGGGCAGGTAGCTGCTTTGGTGGGGAGGGGGAGGTGGCCTGGGGCAGTGTGGCCCTGCTCCCTGGGCTGGTTGCCTGCTCGGAGAAGGGGAAGAAGGCCAAGGCCGTGAAGGATGGGGGCTGGAGCTGGAGGGCCGAGTGCCCAGGGGGTGTGCTTGTTCAGAGGAAGGGAGGAAGACACCAGCCCAGTCAGTGACCCAGAGGAGAGGGGCTGCTGGGGGGGCAGGGGAAGGAGAGGGGAGGGACCACGGGGGGAGAGGGCTGCTGGGGGGATGGAGAGGGGCCATTGGCGGGGAGAGAAGAAGGAGAGGGGAGGAGAGGGATGAGGGTGGGCAAATGGCTGCCGATCTAGAGCAGGTGCCAGGAGAGGGCCAGAGGCAAGGAGGGGGCGACTCCTGCAGGTTTCCCCAACCCTGGGGAGGGAGTCAAGGTCATCTCATGGCCAGGTAGGAAGCTCTCAGGTGAGTGGGTGGGTGCTGTCACACTTCAGGTGCGGGGTTTAGAGGAATCCCTGTTACAGACCATTGGATTCCGGATGCTGTGATAAGACACCTGTTCTGTTGTTTTCAGCTTTCTGTTTTTGGCTGGGGGGATCCCAGCTGCCTTTGTGGTTGATACCCCCCATTCTCCCTGGGATAGCACCCCTCCCACCCAGCTTCCTTCTTGCCTCAGTTCATTCTAGACAGAGCGAGAGAGAAAAGAGAGATCTTCTAACCACCTTTGCTCCCCAGAGCTGCGCCAACCTGAGGCCAGGAACTTCCTCTGAGTCTCCATATGGGTGCAAGGGCCCAATACCTTGAACCATCCTCCACTACTTTCCCAGGTCATAAGAAGGGAGCTGGATGGGAAGTGGGGTAGCCAGGACTAGAACCGGCGCCCATGTGGGATGCTGGCACACAGGCTGAGGGTTAGGTTGTTGTGCCGTCATGAAGATGCTCACTCCACTGTTTGCTGGAGTCGGTCTTAACAGGATGTGTCTTGATTGCGTCCTGAGTGTTGGGTGTGGGTCCCTTCCCTCATGTCCTCCCCTGGTGGCCTCCCCTCAGCAGCTCCCCAAGGCCTTCCTTTGCCTCTGCCAGATGCCGCTGGACCTGACGTGTGTATCCCTGCTTCCTCTGTGTTCTCTTTTCAAGATGAGCTTGCTTACTTGAAAGGCAGAATGGCGGAGTTGGAGGGCGAGGCAGATACCTTTCTGTCTGCCCCTTTCTTTCCCAATTACCGCAGGGTTCAAGCCAGGCTGGAGCCGGGAGTGTGGCTCCACGTGGGTCTGTCCTGTAGGGCCAGGCCCGGTCAGGCTGGAGCCGGGAGTGTGGCTCCACGTGGGTCTGTCCTGTAGGACCAGGCCCGGTCAGGCTGGAGCCGGGAGCGTGGCTCCACGTGGGTCTGTCCTGTAGGACCAGGCCCGGTCAGGCTGGAGCCGGGAGCGTGGCTCTACGTGAGTCTGTCCTGCAGGGCCAGGCTGGAGCCGGGAGCGTGGCTCCACGTGGGTCTGTCCTGTAGGACCAGGCCCGGTCAGGCTGGAGCCGGGAGCGTGGCTCCACGTGGGTCTGTCCTGCAGGGCCAGGCTTGGCCAGGCTGGAGCCGGGAGCGTGGCTCCACGTGGGTCTGTCCTGTAGGACCAGGCCCGGCCAGGCTGGAGCCGGGAGCATGGCTCCACGTGGGTCTGTCCTGCAGGGCCAGGCTTGGCCAGGCTGGAGCCGGGAGCATGGCTCCACGTGGGTCTGTCCTGCAGGTGTGAGGAGCAGCGCCTGCTGCCTCGCATGCTCCCATGGCTGGAAGCAAAGGTTTTGGGACTTGAATGTGGCACTCAACATCTGCATCAATGTGCTGAGCATCCACTCCACATGGGGTCCTTCTTACACCTGTGTGTGCTTACCTCTGAGAGGGTGGCAGCTGGCACGGCTGTGGGAGGAGAGGCCTGTCCCACTCAGAGGATGGATGAATGAGGCAGCCAGGGTGGATGTTCAGGGGCGTGGGAGAAAGGAGGAATCAAAATTACCCTCTGTCGCTCACGCGCGCGTGCAGCTTAATAGTTTTCAACTGAATAAATGTGTGTTCTTCATCTTTCTTTAATTGTTCATTTCAGAGTCCAACTTTGCAAATCAATGCCCAGTATGTAGCCATGAGGTCCGTCGGTATCAAGAAAGAGAAAAGAAAGAAAGGCCTTCACTTAACCGAGAGCGCGCTTGCGGCCCTAGAAGAACTTGTCAACGCCTCTTGTGGTGAGTGGCTGGGCTGGTGAGGGTCAGGGCTGGTGAGGGTCAGGGCTGGTGCGCCTGGGGCACAGTACTGGTGAGGGGCTGGGCTGGTGAGGGTGAGGGCTGGTGCGCCCGGGGCACAGTGCTGGTGAGTGGCTGGGCTGGTGAGGGTCAGGGCTGGTGAGGGTCAGGGCTGGTGCGCCTGGGGCACAGTACTGGTGAGGGGCTGGGCTGGTGAGGGTCAGGGCTGGTACACCCGGGGCACTGGGCTGGTGAGGGTCAGGGCTGGTGCGCCTGGGGCACAGGGCTGGGCCAATGCGCCCTGAGACACTGTTCATCTTGGGCTCCTTCCATTGTCTGCTTTGCAGAGGAAATAGATGGCTGCCCCATCATCCTGGTTTGTGGGTCCCAGGACGTCGGAAAGTCAACCTTCAATAGGTACCTGATCAACCAGCTGCTGAACAGGTAAGGGAGCTGGGTCTCCATGACGCTCTGCTGGAGTCATGAGTCCCTAGGAGTGCTTCCTGTCTGCCAGGCTCGCTGCTCAGGGCAGTGGCAGCACTCCCAGGGACTGCTGCTTGGCATGTGGCAAGCAAGTGAGCATACTGCAGGGTGCAGGTGCTGCCTTGCCCCAGGCGTGCTCTCAGGAGGCCTTCCCGTTATCCACTTGCTGTCTTTGCAGCCCCGTGAACTGTGGGGTGTTCTGTGTGTCTGCATCAAAGCAGAGTGGACTGCGGGTTGGCGTCTTCAAATGCTGCAGCAGCCAGGGCTAGGCCGGGACTCCAGCTGGGTCTGCCACGTGGCTGGCCAGGGGCCAGACCCTTGAATCATTTTCCTCCACTTCCCAGTTAACAGGGAGCTGGGTAGGAAGTGGAGCGGCTGCAGCCCAACCACTGCTCCGGGACTGGGCGTCGGCATCGCAGGTGGTGGCCTGGTGAGCACCACAACTCTGCCTCTAAAGAGTGCTTATGTGTGTGTGTGGTTTTTTTTTTAAGATTTATTTTATTTTTATTGGAAAGGCGGATATACAGAGAGGAGAGACAGAGAGGAAGATCTTCCGTCCGATGATTTACTTCCCAAGTGACCACAACGGCCGATGCTATGCCGGTCCAAAGCCAGGGACCTCTTCCGGGTCTCCCGCGCGGGTGCAGGGTCCCAAAGCTTTGGGCCGTCCTCGACTGCTTTCCCGGGCCACAGGCAGGGAGCTGGATGGGAAGAGGGGCCACTGGGACTAGAACTGGCGCCTATATGGGATCCCGGGCGTGCAAGGTGAGGACCTTAACCACTGCGCCATCGCGCTGGGCCCTTATATGTGTTTTTAAAAAGATTTAATCATTTTCATTTGAAAGTCAGATATACAGAGAGGAGGAGAGACCGAGAAAAAGATCTTCCATGTGCTGAATCACTTAAGCGATGGTAATGGCCGGAGCTGAGCTGATCCGAAGCCAGGAGCCAGGAGCTTCTTCCGGTTCTCCCACGCAGGTGCAGGGTCCAAAGGTTTGAGCTGTCTTTGACTGCTTTCCCAGGCCACAAGCAGGGAGCTGGATGGGAAGCCAAGCCCATATTAGATGCTGGTGTGTGTGCAAGACAACGACTTTAGCCACTAGGCTACCACACTTGGCCCTTTAATAAATAAATCTTAAACAAATGGTTTTCAATAAAATTGACATTTTTGTTTATTTATTTTTCTTGTAAAAGGCAGATCAGATTTATGGAGAGAAAGAGAGACAGCAAAATCTTCCATCTGCTGACTAACTTCCCAAGTACCTGCAATGATTAGAGCGGAGCTGATCCGAAGCCAGGAGCATCTTTCGGGTCTCCCACATGGGTGCAGGGTCCCAAGGCTTTGGGCTGTCCTCGACTGCTTTCCCAGGCCACAGGCAGGAGCTGGAAGGGAAGTGGAGCTGCTGGGATTAGAACCAGCGCCCATTATGGATCCCGGTGCTTACAAGGGGAGGATCAGCCACTGAACCATTACGATGGATCCCAAAATGGACATCTTGGTAATACCCAGGTTGTGTCCATGTTATGAATGAACGTTACAACCACTGCCACACATTTTCCGTTTCTCTTTCTTACACTGTTACCTTGGGAGCTACTAACAGTATGCCTGGGGAAGGAGAGGCGGGGACAAGCGCAGTAGCATAGCACGCTAATCCTCAGCCTGCAAGTGTTGGGATCCCGTATGGGCGTCAGTGCGGGTCTCAGCTGCATCACTTCCCATCTAACTCCTTGCTAGTCGCCTGGGAAACAGTGGAGGACGACTCCAATCCATGGGTCCCTGCACTCGTGTGGGAGACCCAGACGATGCTCCTGGCTCTTGCCTTTGGATCAGCTCAGCTGTGGCCACTCCTGCCACTTGGGGAGTGACCAGCAGATGGAAGAGTTCTCTCTTATCTCTGTAAATTTGCCTTTTAAAGAAAAATAAATAAATACGTATTTTATTTTATATATTGTTTACATAATTGAGAAAGATGTATCCCCATGTGGACTTCTTCATTAGGATAGAGGGGGCTGATTGTGGCGCAAAGTGGATGGGACCGATGTTTCTTTTTTTTCTCTGTCTGCAGTGGGGGAGGGGACTGCTCGCTGTACCCCCATTGGCAGCCACCCTGGGAGGGGCACGCTCCTCGATGTTCTGAGGGCGTTAGCTGAGTGGTTCTGATAGTTCTGAGAAGCTGTTGGCTTCATCGCTCTCTTTCCGAAGTCTGGTGGCTGGTAGAGTCCACCTCAGTGCCTGCACAGACCCAGGAACGTGCTGCTAGCTTGCCTAGGCCAATTGTCCAACCCGTTCTTCCCGCCCCCGAGGTGTCCATGTCCCCTGCTGGTCTGGATGAGCTGGCTGTCATGTCTCCCGTGTGCATCTGGACTTGTTCACGGCCCGGGCATCAGCAATTCAGGACGCCCAGTCCCAATGTGTATACTCCACGCTCGGACCCCGGTGACCGGGGTCCGAGTCCTTCTATCCAGCAGGACAGTCCCCCCAAAAACCTCATCTGGTGCGATCTCCCACGTGGGCGCATGCGTTGTCCTGACCAGACATACCCTCTGGTTCTCCCTTCTAAACCACTGCGTCTCAGGTCCCTCACTGCATGTGCAGCGGCCCGGTCCATGGAAGATGCCAGAAGGCATTCCTTCCCCGTCCAGCATGTCCCCAGACCCCCTTCCCTGGGCCATCTGCAGTTCCCCTGCCAGGGACCAGGGTGGCGTAGCCCAGGCTGGCATCCCTGCCTTCCCCACAGACTGAATAAGCAGCTATCCCGGCACATTGCTATAATTCCCACAGAGTTGGCATGCGCCACACCCGGGATGCCCACCAGCCCTGGCTGCTTTCTCCCAGCAGTGTGGCACTTGCTTAGGTACAAAGCAACCTATGGCTGGGGAAAAATAAATCTTAGAACAAAAACAAAACGAAACAGAAAAGCTGCATACTTAGACCGTGTCTGTGCAGCACAAAGTCCTTACTGTCGGGCCCGGTGCCGTGGCCTAGTGGCTAAAATCCTCGCCTTGAACACACCAGAATCCTATATGTGCACCGGTTCTAGTACCGGCAGTTCCACTTCCCATCCAGCTCCTGCCTGTGGCCTGGGAAAGCAGCTAAGGATGGCCTAAAGCCTTGGGACCCTGCACCCGCATGGGAGACCCAGAGGAGCTCCTGGCTCCTGGCTTCGGATCGGCACAGCAGTCACTTGAGCAAATCATCGGACAGAAAATCTTCCTCTCTGTATATCTGCCTTTCCAATAAAAATAAATAAATCTTAAAAAAAAAAATTCTTACTATCTGCTTTGTCGTTGCAGTGGTATAGGCATGTAAAGGCTTCTGTTTCTGTTTTGCTGTTTTCAGTATTTCCTGTGTTGACTACCTGGAGTGTGACCTGGGACAGACAGAGTTCACCCCTCCTGGTTGCGTTTCGTTACTTAATATCACAGAACCCGTCCTAGGTAAGTATGCGTGCTTGTTGAGTGTCCTGGGCTCACGCAGGTCCGCAGTGGTCACACCTCCCACGTCCACGGGACACGAGAAGGCCCGGACTCTCCACATCTCTGGTCCGACACAGTGAACTCAGCTTATTTTCCATTTTAGGACATACAAGTGCGACTCATTGCATCTTTGTACGTTACGAGCGTATTTCCCCTCGGTCTGTACAGCACAGGCATAACTATTCGAGAACTGATGGGTGAAGCAGTGCTGACAGCCAAAGCACGCGTTCATTTCTTCTTTTCAAGATTTATTGATTTTTTTAGGGCCTGGCAGCATGGCCTAGCAGCTAAAGTCCTTATTAAACACGTCAGGATCCCATATGAGCACTGGTTCTAATCCCAGCAGCTCCACTTCCCATCCAGCTCCCTGCCTGTGGCCTGGGAAAGCAGTGGAGGACGGCCCAAAGCCTTGGGACCCTGCACCCGCGTGGGAGACCCAGAAGAAGTTCCTGGCTCCTGGCTTCGGACCGGCATACCATCGGCCGTTGCGCTCACTTGGGGAGTGAATCATCGGATGGAAGATCTTCCTCTCTGTCTCTCCTCTCTGTGTATCTGACTTTCCAATAAAAATAAATAAATCTTTTTTTTTTTAAGGGAAAGACTTAGGAAGACCTTCCGTCTGCTAGCTCACTCCCCAGATGCCAGTACTGACCACAGCTGAGCCGACCAGAAGCCGAGAGCTTCTTCTGGGTCTCCCACGCGGGTGCAGGACCGCCAGGCTTGGGCTGTCCTCGACTGCTTTCCCAGGCCACAGGCAGGGAGCCGGATGGGAAGTGGAGCACCTAATACAAAGTGGCATCCATGTGTAACGTTGGTAGTTGGTACTGCAGATGGGTGCTCAGCATACTATATCACAGCTCCTGTCTGTTTCTGTTTTTGAAATCAGATGAAAGGAACTCAGTTTTTGAAAAGGTAATATGAGCCCGGTGCAGTAGCCTAGTGGCCAAAATCTTCACATGCTGGATCCCATATGGGTGCAGGTTCTAATCCCGTCAGCCCTTTCCCACCCAGCTCCCTGCCTGTGGCCTGGGAAAGCAGTGAGGGGTGGTCCAAAGCCTTAGAACCCTGCACCTTCACAGGAGACCTGGAAGACGATCCGGGCTCCTGCCTTCAGATCAGCTGAGCTTTGGCTGTTGCGGCCATTGGGGAGTAAATCAGTGGACGCAATATCTTTCTTGACTTTCCAATAAAAATAAATAAATCTTAAAAAAAAAAAGAAATATGATTTGCTTGCTTTACAATAAAAAAGAAAAAAGGTAATATGAGGAGCCCAGCGTGGTAGCCTAGTGGCCTAAGTCCTCTGCTTGCCGCCCAGGATCCCATGTGGGCAGGAGCTCCTGACTTCGGATCCGCTCAGCTCAGCCTGGCTGTTGTAGGCACTTGGGCAGTGAACCAGTGGATGGAAGATTTTCTCTCTGTCTCTCCTCCTCTCTGTACATCTGACCTTCCCATAAAAATAAACAAATTTTACACATAAAACAAAGTAATATTAGGAGCCAGTGCTATCTACAGTGCGGGCGGTGAGACCACCGGCATCACGTGCAGTGCTGCCTTGCGTCCCAGCTGTTTCCGGTCCATCTCTGCTGCTGGCTTGACAAAGGGCAGTGTTGGATGGCCCAAGGGCCCCGGCTGCACTGCGGGGCGAGCCCACAGCATGCTTCCGGCCGCAGCGTGGCCCAGTCTCACCTGTGCAGCCTTGGAGGTGTCAGTCTCTCTGTAACTCTGACTTTCAAATACTGTTTCAAACAGTAAGATTAGCAGCTAGAGGAATTTTCTAAACTTAGAGTGCCTTCATTTTTGGCGGGCACGCCGAGGGCTGCGCTGAGCAGAAGGAGCCCTTGGCCTTCATCCTGCAGCTGGCTGCAGCCGTGGGCTCTTGGGAGAAGAGGCTCTGAGCGTTTGGAAGTTGCCGCAAGCAGTACTGGAACCTGTGACAACCCTACGTTTTCCTGTCCGTCTCCGCGGGGCACTCTTGGTTTTTTTGTTTGTTTTGTTTATTTGTTCAAGATTTATCTATTTTTATTGGAAAGGCAGATATATAGAGAGGAGGAGAGAGAGGGGAAGATCTTCCATGCGATGATTCACTCCGCAAGTGAGCGCAATGGCCGAAGCTTGTAAGCACCCCCAAGTGGGGCCACCTTGCCGTCCTTCCCCGAGACAGTGAGTCCCCCCAATGACCAACGAAGACGAGACTTGATGCAAAAGCAAGAGGCTTTCTTCGATCAGCGCTGGTCCTGGGGCCTGTCCCCACACAGGAGGCTAGGCACACCAACCCCGAGCCTTTGTTCAGCTTTCCTTTTAAAGGCTAAAAACCATACTCAGGATAGGGGCCAGAAAAGACCTTTGCCTTGCCATGCAGTTGGGGTCTTTTCCACTGCGCCCTCAATTCCTCATCGCACTTCTTCCTGAGACGCCTGTCCCAAGACTTTATGACCTAATCCGATGCAGCTGCAGGTGCCCCTATCTCTCTCCAGTTCCCAGGCTCTGTCTAAGTCACGACATGTTTGTTCAGCTAGGGATGTTGGTTCAGCTATCCATTGTCTTTTTCAGTGAGCAAAGTACAGAAGGCGAAAAAGCACATTAAATTCCTCTATCCTAAAATTTTCCTTTTCAAGCTGAGCCAATCCCAAGTCAGGAGCTCTTCCGGGTCTCCCACAGGGGTGCAGGGTCCCAAGGCTTTGGGCCGTCCTTGACTGCTTTCCAGGCCACAAGCAGGGAGCTGGAAGGGAAGCGGGGCCTCTAGGATTAGAACCGGTGCCCATATGGGATCCTGTTGCTTTATGGCAAGGACTTTAGCTGCTAGGCTACTGTGCTGGGCCCTCTTGTAGTTTTTATGTAATCTTCAACTTCCTTTACAAGGGTTTGGTTATTTTACATATAGCAGGCTTTTAATTCTTCAGTTTGATATTTTCCTAAGAGTTCAGTTATTTAGGTGATAGTGTAAGTGTGCCTCTGTGGGCTCCGCATTGGCTTGGATAGCTTTACTTTGTTTCCATCAGGAACAGTTCCTAGAGCCTTTCTTATCCTTTACGACCTGGTCTGTTTTGTGTGAGAAGCAGACAGAGTGTCCGGCTATTGGCTTACTCCCCCAAGTGTCTGCAGGCTTGGGCAGAACTGCGAGCTAAGAATTTAGTGTGGAAAGCCCGCCCCTGCCTCTCCAGGTCTGCATTGGCCGCAGTGGAATTGGAGCCGATGATTGACAGCTGCTCAGCCCAGTGCCTACTCCTCACCTTGATGCTATTTCCATTGATTCTTTTTTTTCCTTTGGGAGACAGAAGTGAGATCCCGTGTTCTGCATCACTGCCCAAGTGGCTGCAGTGGCCAGGGCCGGGCCAGGACTCAGATCGGCAGACCGGAACCCCCGAGTCTCCCACATGGGGGTCTGGGACTTGGCAGGAGCAGCGCTGGCCGTCACGTCGGGCGTCTGCCCCTCTGGGTACATGTCCACTCTTGGCCTCCCCGTGTTTGGAGAGGACATGGTAGAGTAATCTTGATGAAGGCCCAGGACCCGCAGAAGTGACGCTGTGCCTCAGGGCGTTGACCCCACTTGCTCAGTCCTGGTTGCTGGGTTAACTTGGCATCTGTTGGGACTTTGCCCTGTATCTAAGTTCTTGGCCATCCTTCACTGCTTCGCAAGTGCATTAGTGGGGGATTGGGTTGGAAATTGTGCCGCTGGGATTCGAGCCTGCACTCAATGGAAGGCCCGTGTCCCAAGCAGGGCACTATAGCAGCGTGCCAGCCCTGGCTACTCTGCTTCTGATCCAGCTGCCCACCAGGCACGTCCCGGGGGGCAGCAGGTGACAGCTTAAGTACTCGACCTCAACGTGGGGGCCCCAGGTAGAATCCCAGACACCTGGGTTTGTCCTGGCTTGACTGAGGCTGCTGCGTGAACAACTGTAAGATCTCTGTCTGCCCTTCTGCCTTGCAAATAAATTGGATTTTTAAAATTTTTAGTTATTTACTTGTTTGAAAGGCTGCGAGACAAGAAAGAAAAACAGAAATTTCCCAGAACGGCGCCATCTGCAGGTGCTGGTGGTGGAGCCCAGCAGGCCAGTGCGGCAGCCCTCCCCTCAGAGCCCAGCGGGTGCTGGGCTTCAGAGACCAGCCTGGACTTGATGTGCAGCTGCATGTTGACTCTACCCAGGGCCACTGCCAGGGAGCCATGGTCTTCCCACCAAGTCCGCGGAGTCGGCCAGGCAGCCTTGTGGGCAGGCACCAGCTCGTCCCAAGGCACAGGGAGACACGCCCGCACGTAGAGCTGAGTGACCAAGTCTTGTGCCCTCACACTCGTGCATCTTTTGTTTTGGATGTTCGTACTGTTGCAGACTTGTCACCATGGCGCTTTAAGCTTCCCTATGTCCTTTTTAGCTTGATTTCAAAATTATTTAAAGCTTTTCTTATTTTTAAAAAATTTTTATAAGGAAGTCACATTTACAGTGTAAATTTAGGAGAGACAGAAAGATCTTCCATATGCTGGTTCACTCCCCAGGTAGCTGCAACGGACAGAGCTGAGCCAGTCCGGAGCCAGGAGCCAGGAGCTGCTTCCAGGTCTCCCACGCGGGTGCAGGGTCCCAAGGCTTTAGGCCGTCCTCGACTGCTTTCCCAGGCCACAAGCAGGGAGCTGGGAATGGGAGGCGAAGCAGCTGGGATATGAACCAGTGCCCATATGGGATCCCAGGCATGCAAGGTGAAGGCTTTAGCCACTAGTCTACCTCACTGGGCCAAAGGCTTTTACTATTTTTTAAGGTTTATTTTGATTGGAAAGGCAGATTTACAGAGACAAGGAGATACAGAGAGAAAGGTCTCTGTCAGTTGGTTCATTCTCCAAATGGCCTTAATGATTGAAGCTGAGCTGATCCAAATCCAGGAGCTTCGTCTGGGCTTCCCACGCAGTGCAGATTCCCAAATCCTTGGGCCGTCCTCTGCTGCTTTCCCAGCCACAGGCAGGGAGCTGGGTGGGACGTGGAGCAGCCGGGACATCCAGCGTTCATGTGGGATGCAGGTGGGGGATTAGCTAACTTGGCCGTTGTGTTGTCCCTCCCCCTGCAGCTGTGTGTCTGCCTGTTGATGGATAAGGCGGGGTGACGGGCGGCTGGTGCCTGCCCTGCCTCCCTGCAGCTGTGTGTCTGCCTGTTGATGGATAAGGCGGGGTGACAGGCGGCTGGTGCCTGCCCTGCCTCCCTGCGGCTGGCGCTGCCGGAGGTTCCCCAGAGCCCCCAGCAGGCTTCCTGCCCTGCTGGTCTGCGCAGCCTTGGTCCCTCTGTGTGCGTCATCCCCCATGGACCCAGGCCACTTGCCGTGCCACAGGCTGCCTTTGTCCTTGGCCTTCCCTGCCCGACCTGTGGGAAACACGCTGCCCAGCTCTGGTCACTGTAGCCAACCACAAGCTGGAGTTCTGTCCCAGGGGGCCTTGCACGAGCTGCAGTTCAGCTGCCTTCTTGCTGACCTGGCCCCTTGCCTGGCCGGCCTTGGCCTTGCCACACTGCTTTGCTCCTTGCCACAAACGAGGATAGATAGGAAGTGGCTTGGGTTGCCTGACGAGTTTTGCGGCTGCTGTTGGGTTCTGGTTCTTGCCCCAGGCTCATGTCCAACGAGGTGTCCACTGGCTGCCTGCCCGCTGCCAGTGCATCTCGGGCTGCGTGTCATCTGTACAGTGGAGGGCAGCGGTGGCACAGAGGGAGTGGCTGAGCTTAGAGGTGAAGGGGGTGCCCAGGGCAGTGGGTGCAGTCTTCCCACGAGGGAGCCCTGGCTGTGGCGTGCCCACTTGCTTGCTCTGCACTCGCTGGTGGATCTGAAGGGTTTGGGGCAAAGCCGGCCGGTAACAGGTCGTCATTCCCAGGTCTGGTCAGAATGGAGCTGTGTGGGGGGAGTGTGAGAAGTCTGCAGGAAGCTGAAGGTGGGGTCGCTGCCGTGCTGTCGGGTGGTGAGTCTGTCCTCTCGGCCGTGGCCTGAGCTGCCGCCTTCCTGTCCCCAGGGCCGCCCTTCACCCATCAGAGGAGGCCGCAGAAGATGGTGTATTACGGGATGCCTACCTGTAAGGACAGCTGCGAGAGTTACATTGAAATAGTAAAATACGTGTTCAGTTCCTACAAGAGGGAGGCCCCTCTGATCGTCAACACCATGGGCTGGGTGACAGGTGAGCTCTGGGCAGGGGTTGGGGGGTGAGCTGTGGTCCCCAAGCACGCGTCCTGCCACCGGGGCCGTCCTGGGCAGAGCATGCCCGGGTCTCCTCCCGGGCTGACTCCACCCCTCGCCTGCAGACAGCGGGCTCCTGCTGCTCATCGACTTGATCCGCTTGCTGGCCCCCAGCCACGTGGTGCAGTTCAGTTCTTCCCAGAGCAAGTGCATGCCTGCTCTCACCCCGGAGTACGTGGAAAGCGTGGACGGTCTCTACACCAAAAGCAAGTCCAAGGTGCGAAACCAGAGCTTCGAACTCCCGGAATTCGCAGAGAGCTTGGAGCTGTCCGACGAGGACAAGGAGTACCCGCTCATCTTGATGGGACATAAGCTGCTAAACGTGCAGTCGGAGTTCTGCTTCCGAAAGACGGACAGGAACAGGTGAGGGCGCCGTCACTCCCCGGAGGACACCTGCGCCCTCTCCCTCTGCAGCATGTCTTCTGTTTGAAGGAGAGTCTGCTTTTGTTCTCCCAGGAAACTTCCAGAGACAGCCCTCAGTCTGGCTGACTTAAAGGAGGGTCTTTATGCTATGCTTTTTTTTTTTTAAGGTTTGCTTATTTTTATTAGAAAGGTAGATTTACAGAGAGAAAGAGACAGAGAAAGCTTCCACGCACTCGTTCCTCCCCACGTGGCCGTAAGGTCAGAGCTGAACTGATCCAGAGCCAGGAGCTCTTCCAGGTCTCCCACGCGGGTGCAGGGTCCCAAGGCTTTGGGCCGTCCTCGACTGCTCTCCCAGGCCACAGGCAGGGGGCTGGAAGGGAAATAGGGCACCCAGGACACAAACCAGCGCCCACTTGGTTTGTGGCACATGCAAGGCAAGGGTTTATCTGCTAGGCCACGCTGCCGGGCCCTGTTTTTGATTTAATAAAGCTTATTGAAAAGGTGAGGAAATTTCAGATATGCTTGGGCCAGGGGGGGGATGGTTAGAGACATGTTCCTACCTCCATCCGGTGTTCTCAGGAAGTGAGCGAGAGTGCCACTCCCCACTGCCAGGGAGTGGTTACCTGGCCCCGCTGCCAGGGAGTGGTTACCTGGCCCCGCTGCCAGGGGAGTGGTTACCTGGCCCCGCTGCCAGGGAGTGGTTACCTGGCACCTCCACCGGCCCCAGGGGAGGGGATCCTTTCCATGAAGGGCTTTGCCTGAGGGAGGAGAGGGAGGATGTCGCTGTGGGGACACGGCCGTGGGACTGACCTGGCTGACTTGCCTTGCAGAGAATCACATAACCGGATTCTCCGTGACCTGGCGGTGCTGGGATACCTGGGCCAGCTGCTGCCCCCCACGCCGGAAGTGCTGCCTTTGCACAGTCTGATTCCGTATGAGGTAACTGGGGCTTGTGGGAGAGCTGTCTGCGGTCTTGGCTGCATGCTTGTGACCTGCCTGGTGTAGTTCTCGGAACGTGGCCACACGGTGGGCTCTCTCCACCCCATTTCTCAGATGAGACTGAGGTGCAGGGGGTCCGGCGCTGGAGAGTAGGCCTTCACACACAGCGCCAGGGCTGGGCTCCTTGTGCTTGGTGCGGGCATGTGCATCCTGCCCAACTCCCACCTAAAAGCAGGATTGCGGCAGGCCTGGCACAGTGGCTGTGGATTCAGGGTGCACTCACCGTGGCCCTGGCCCCCCAAGCACTCCTGTTACTACACTCTGCCCCTCGGTGCCTGGATTGCCTCCCCCCCGCTGCCTCTGGAGGAAGCCCACAAGGTGGCAGGTGGGGTTGCCCGGAGACACAAGTCTCCAACAGCAGCCTTTCCTCCGTGTTCACCTTCTTGGGATCCTGCAGTGCCACCTCTGATGGTGACGCCAAGGCCAAGGGCTCAGAGTCAGCCTGCCCAAGTGGCACGGTGAAGGCGTGGGCTGGGAGGTGGCCCCAGGGTCCACTTTGCAGCCCGTCCAGCCCCATGGCTCTTTTTTTTTTTTAAGATTTATTTATTTATTGGAAAGTCAGATATACAGAGAGGAGGAGAGACAGAGAGGAAGATCTTCCGTCTGATGATTCACTCCCCAAGTGAGCACAACGGCCGATGCTATGCCGGTCTGAAGCCAGGATCCAGGAACTTCTTCCAGGTCTCCCACATGGGTGCAGGGTCCCAAAGCCTTGGGCCGTCCTTGACTGCTTTCCCAGGCCACAGGCTGGATGGGAAATGGAGCTGCTGGGATTAGAACCGGTGCCCATATGGGATCCTGGCACGTTCAAGGCGAGGACTTTAGCTGCTAGGCCATGCTGCCAGGCCCTAGCCCCATGGCTCTTGAGAGCTGTCTGCAGGACTGGTGGCTCAGTGGCTTTGTGGCATCCCTCCCTGGAAGAGACGGCAGCAAGCCCTTGTCAGTGTGGGGACTGGCCAGGGTCAGGTGGAGACCCCGAGCTGTGGTCACCGGCAGACCTTTTATAAAGATTTCTTTCTTTTTATTTGAAAGACAGAGAGATGGAAATCTGCTGGCCCACTCCCCAAATGACTGCAATGGTGGGAGCTGGGCTGCTTCAAAGCTAGGAGCCTAGAGCCTCCTGGCCCTCCCATGTGGGTGCAGGGCCCAGCACATGGGGCATTTTCCGTTGTTCTTTCCAGCAGCAGGGATTTGAACTAACAACCATGTGGATGCTGGCACCACAGGCTGGAGATTGACCCACCATGCCCTGGTGCTGACCTCGGCATTTATTTTTGAAAACAAATCTCAGGAAGTTATGTTTCTGTCATTTTTGTTGTGCTCCAGGGTAGGGGTCAGTTTTTCTTAGTTCCCCGTGTCCCATGGGAAGCCAGTTCAGGCGTTTTGTCCCGTGGATGTGGTCTCTCCTCTCACCCATTGCGTACCAGCTCCGTGCACGTCTCTGCAGGCATGAGCACTCCCAGGAGTATGCAGGTCTGGGTGGTGGTTCTGGTCTTCCACGTGGACACAGCACGGCCTGGCCTGGCTCTGGTTAGGGTCTGTTCCTTGCAGGTCCTTTGGGGATGGGCAGGCAGCCCCAGCTTGATAGCTGACCAGTCTGCTGGGACCACAAGCAGCTGCCTTTCCAAGGAGAAAGGAATGAGCGGAGGGCGCACATCTGTCTTCCAGGTCCCCTTCAATGCAGTGGCCCTCCGGGTCACCCACTCCGATGTCGCCCCCACCCACATCATGTACGCCCTGAACGCCAGCTGGGTTGGCCTCTGCAGGATTCTTGATGACGTCACTGGGTACTCAGAAGGGCCCGTCCTGTTGGCACAGACTCCCATCTGTGACTGCTTGGGCTTCGGTGAGTTGTGCATGCACCGCATCCCAAAAGTGACAGCCTTGGGTCCCTGGAGAGCGCATGAGTGGTCTGAACCTCGCATCAGAGTGCCTCTGCTGGGCCTGGGACCTGGTGGCTGGGGGTGGGCCTGAGGCAGGGGACTTGAGGCTGGGGGCTGGGGCTGAGGGCTTAGAGCTGGTGGCTGAGACTGGGGTCTTGGGGCTGGGAGCTGAGGGCTAGGACCTGGGGCAGGGCAGTTGAAGCTTGGTGCTGGAGGCTGGGGCTGGGCGTAGGGGCAGGGGGCTGAGGGCTTGGAGCTAGGGGCTGAGACTGGGGACTAGGTAGCCCTGGGGCAGGGGGCTTGGGGCTAGGGGCTGAGGGCTGGAGCAGGGGGCTGGGGCCTGAGGGCTTGGGACTAGGGGCTGAGGCTTGGGGCTGGGGCTGGACCTAGGGGCTGAGGGCTGGGCCTAGGGGCTGAGGGCTGAGGGCTTGGGGCTGAGGCCTATGGACTGGGGCTGAGGGCTAAGGCTTGGGGCTGGGCCTGGGCCTAGGGGCTTGAAGCTGGGGCCTGTGGACTGGGGCTAGAGTCTGGGGCTTTGCAGGAAGCAGCTGCTCAGGCCACATTGCCCAGTGCTATGCTTTGAATCCATCTCAAGGGTCTAGCTAGGGTCATGATGCCCAAGTCCCCAGAGAGCTCCTGAGTCGTGTTTGCTGCCAGTGCGGTCCCTGGGTGGTCACAGGGATGGCTCACGCAGTTGGGTTCCTGCCAGCCCTGTGGGAGACAGCAGCTTCTAGTCCAATGTGGACATCTGGAGAGTGAACCAGTAAGTGGAGCGTGCTTTCTTTCTCATGAGTAATGCAAGTTTCCATGCATTTGTAGGCATGAGCTGTCACCTTCCCGAGCACAGCCGCATCCATGCACCAGGTCCACATTAGCCTGCTCCTCCCAGGGTCTCTGTGGCATCTGAGACGGGAGTCCAGCAGGCCTTGGAGGACGCTGCCACCGTTCTCCTGCCCTGCCCTGTCTGCTCAGGCCTTGCAGGCCCGCTCCCAAGGTCTCCTCCTGACTGAAGCTTGGCATCTCTCCTCTGCCACTTCCAGCCCACTTGTGGGTCTGTTTGCAAAATGTGGTAGATTGCTCTGCTCCATGCCATGTGGTCAGTGCACGCATTTCTGCACTAGGCTGCCAGAAAGTTCTTAGCCGGACACTCCTGCTGTCTGTGTATTTTAATCTTATTTATTTGAGAGTCAGAGAAAGCCAAGATCTCCCATCCCCTGGTTCACTTCCTTCCAGATGCCCACCACAGCTGGGGTTGGGCCAGGGCAGCGCCAGGAGTCAGGAACTCAACATTAAACCCTGCAATTGGGAGTGGCTACACACAGATGTGGCTGCGCGGGGCCTGGCCCTCCTGTCACCCAGCTCTGGGGTCCAGCCGGAGGGTTAGTCCCCCGGCGGGCCAGGCCCTTTCTTCTGCAGCAGCCCTGGCTCCTTGCCTGCTGCAGCTGGCTGAGGTCAGGGATGTGGGCCTAGCCATGTGGAAGGTGCTAGAATAAAACCAACGAGAATGAAGGAAGCACCCATCTCAGATGAAGGGCAGCGGTGGGTTCTCTGCCTTGCTCAGTCATCCAGAACCCTAGGGAAGTTTTGTTCCCCCCAGCCAGCCCAGGAAGGGCCGTTGCCCTGACTGCAAGGTGGGGTGGGGTGGCGGCTGGGGACTCACCTGCAACCTGCTCTCAAAGGCATCTGCAGGGGCATCGACATGGAGAAGCAGCGCTACCACATCCTCACGCCCATGCCCCCCGAGGAGCTGAGGACGGTCAACTGTCTGCTCGTGGGAGCCGTGTCCGTTCCACATAGCGTCTTCAAGAGCCAGGTAAGTGGGGTGGGGCCCAGGACCGGGTCTGCTTTCTGGGAGATAGACTTTGTTGACAAGCCCAGCTGAAACTGTCTTGGTGCTAGGATGCCCTTGGGAGCCAAGGGCAAAGTTTGCTGTGTGGCTGCCAGTACGGGGGCATGGGGGGACCTCAGTGCCCCTCCTTTCAAAGGAGTCACATCCGGGACACAGGCATCCATCCTGGTGACTTGCTGGTGCTGCGAGTGGTCAGCGGCCATGCTTCTGCCTTTGCTGCCAGGACGAAGTGCGTTTTGCACCCGCGTCCTCTCGTGGTGGTGGTTGTGGACTTGGACAGAAAGAAGGCGTGCGGGAAGGGCGCACCTCCTCATGTACACGGTTGTGTTTCTGTTGCAGCATGGGCTCGAGGGCACGATTCCCTATGTCACAACGGACTACAATATGAAGCTTCCTGGAGCGTCAGAAAAAATGGGGATAAGAGAAGGACAAGACATTACCGAACTGAGCATGCTCCGGCGACCCAGGCTCCGGCAGAAAAGCCAGCCTGTCCCGGAGACTGGCTGAGGGGCACCGTCTCAGCTGGACTGCTGCGGCACGAGGCACGTGGAGTTTTCTGTGTCATCTGGGAATGTCGTGTTGTAAATAGCTCTTAGTTTCCCTCTTAGAGCTGCGTGGTCTCCCACGTGGCTCATGGCTCTCTGGCGAGTTTTCTAACACAGGTGAAAGTACACCGTGAAGATGGGTGGGTCACACTCGATTCCTCAGAAAGTCCCGGACCGGCTCAGGATGTGAACCTGGGCCTAAGGCCAGGAAGGCGAGCCGGCAGGGGAGACGGGACTGCAGAGCCTCGGGCAGGGCGGACCCTCCTGCTGCCTGGACACTCCGGGTTGCTGTGTGCTGGGGAAACAGCTGGCAGTTAACAAATCCTCTCCTGGAGCTTGCCTTTTAAAGCCGGACGTGCCCTGAGTCTCGGCCTCAGTGGAGACAGGTGGGAGAGGCCTGGCTACCCAGGCAGGACTGGCCAGCTGGCCCACTGCAGAGCCCTGTGGGTTCCACAGCTGAACCTGTGCCTCGTGGGGCACCGGAGGCTTCATCTGCTCTTCCCATTCTCCCAGGGTCACGGTCGCTGGAAGTGCTTTTGTCAGCAGCTGATCCGCGTCTGTGTTGGGGGCAGTGGGCAGTCACTGAGGACGGTTCCTGACTGACTTTGGGACTGCCGCTTCTCGTGGCCTTGCACTTTGATGCTCGTTTATACTGTGGATGGTGGTTGTTCCCAGAGCTCTGTGGTGGCCCTGGGGATGCAGAGCTGAGCGGAGCGGTCTGGGCACTGCCATTCCTTCTGTGACGCCAAGGCCGTTGGAAGCCTGGGAGCCTCATGACCGACTGTTTCAAGTCGCCCCTTCCCCAGTGCCAGTAACACCTGCTACAGGCCCCTGAGAGCAGGTCACTGTGAAGATGAAGGTGGTGCCATGCGGTTTGCATTTCTATTAAATCTAAGTTTGCTTTTAGACATAAATGTCATCTTCCTTAGTCCCCGCCAGTGAAGAAGAGAAAGACATGACCAGCCATCGTCAGGCAGCTGCACTGGGGACCCCGGAGACCTGGCCGGTGGACCTGCCGCGGTCTGGACGACACTCAGATGAGCCTGGGCTTTCTGGCAGTTCCGGTCAGCTGTGGCTCTGATGGTGAAAGGAGTTGTACCCTGTCTGTATTCTGTACATGATGAAGTTTTAGAAATTGCCAGGCAGTGTAACCAGTGCAGCCGCAGGCTCTGCTGTGAGCGCGGCCCCATGGAAGCTTTAACCTTGGAACGATGGACGCCTCAGCCTGCTTCCTGTCTTGGGGTTCCTGGGTGACCACAAAGTCTTGTGCACCCCAGTGAGAGAGGCTCGGTTCATGGGAAATGGTCCGTGACTCCTGGCGGGGCCTGACGGGAAGCCAGGCATTGGGCTTCTGGTACACACTGATGCCTCAGGCCATGACCCCGTCCGCCCTAGCCAGAACCTGCTCCTGGGGGTTTTACATAAACTCTCCTTATACCCTGAGAGTGAGCACTGAACGTGTGAGTGTGTGCCTGTGCCTGGCATCCTGGCCGGCGTTGCGTGAGCCTGAGCATCTGTCAGGAGGAAGTCTTTGAGAACATGAATTCATCCTGCAGCTTGGCCGTGCTAGGCCTTTGTGTCCAGGAGTCTCACTGCTGTGGACAGTGACGTCCAGACACACAGGGGGCTGGCTCCATGCCTAAGGCTCATCTGCCGCCAAGCACCAGCATCCCGTACGGTTGCTGGTTCGTGTCCCAACCGCCCTGCCTAGAGCCTGGAAAGCAGGAGAGGGTGGTCCAGCCTCGGGAAGCTCCCGGATCCTGATCGGCTCCGCTCTGGCCATTGTGGCCATTGTTGGGGAGTGGACCAACAGATTCAAGATTTTCTGCACCTCTCTATACATCTCTCTGCCTTTCCAATAAAATTAAATCTTGGTAGGACGGGGGAACACGAATGATAAAGAACATTAAGGGGCCTGTCCCGTGGTGCCGTGGGTTAAGCCACCACTTGTATCCCCAGCAACCCAGTGCTTGAAGCACACTGCCTCCACTTCCCTCTTTGCTCAGGCACCTGGGAAGGTAGCAGAGGATGCCCAGAACTGGGAGCCCTGCCACCCCTGTGGGAGACCAAGGTGGAGTTCCTGTCCCGGCTCTGTCGACTGCAGCTGTTGTGGGAGTGAGCAACAGACGGAAGCACTTCTTCCGAGTGGGTTGCTCTGTCTTCCAAAAAACATTTTTTTGTGATTGATTGATTTATTTATTTTTAATTACATTGCATTATGTGACACAGTTTTATAGGTACTGGGGTTCACCCTCCCACCCCTCCCCAGACCCTCCTGTGAAGATTTATTTTTATCAGAAAGGTTTACAGAGGAGACAACGTTCCCTCTGCTGGCTCACTCCCCAAATGGCTGTAACTGCCAGAGCTGAGCCAGCCAGGAGCCAGGAGCCGCTTCTGGGGCTCCGATTGGTGCAGGGTCCCAAGGCTTTGGGCCATCCTCCTGCTTCCTAGGCAACAAGAGAGAAGCTGGATGGGAAATAGAGCAGCTTGGATGGAAACTGACGCCCACAGGGATGCTGGCGCTGGGAGATGGAGGATAAGCAATTAAGCCAAAATGCCAGCCTCTCAGATTTTTCCACAAAGAAAAAGGTTTTAGTTGAAAGACAAAGTTTACAGAGAAAGATGGAGAGAGATCTTCCAGCCCCCAGTTCACTCCCCAGATGGCCACAACGAGCCGCGTTGGCCTGATCAAGAGCTGAGGCTTCTGGGTCTCCCAGGTGGACGTGCCATCCTCCCCTGCTTTCACAGGCACGTTAGCAGAGAGGCGAGTCGGAAGTGGAGCCAGCAGGACTTTAACCAGCAGCCATAGGGGTTGCTGGCGTTATATAAATGGCAGCTATATGTGCTAAACCTCAACACCGGGCCCTTAAAATAAATCTAAAAAGAGGACAACGTCCAGAGGAAGAACGCAGAGCCTTGGGCCAGAGCAGGGCGCTATCTGGAACACCTGCTCTGTTCGTTTGCACTCAGAGCTGTGGGAGCTGATTTTTTTTCTGAGGCACAATCTAAGTGAAGAGAGGATGCAATACTTCCTCTGGACTTTGGGTAATAGAAAACTGAAGTTTTGATCATAGAGGAGTTCAAGTGAAAGGGGAAAAAACAAAGCAAAACCCCAGCGCTCGCACCCCTCCCCGGCCTGGGGCCTGCGCCAGTGACTGGCTCAGCAGGCTGGCCCCAGATCTGCAATCTTGCCTGGGCCTGGCAGAGGGAGGGGGCCTTGGCTGACAAGCCTGGCCCAGACAGTGCCTAAGATCAATAAAGGGGCCATCTGGGCAGCAAAGGGGGAGCCGCATGACTTGCATGGCAGACTCTGAAAGTCCTTGCCCCGGCACATGTTTCCAAGGCTTTGCCAGGAAAAGGCTGGCCTGGGGAGGCAACTGAAGGGGTAATCACCAGCCAGGCGTGGCAGGTCCAATCTGGGTATGCCGAGAGCTGAGTAAGCAAAGAAGGGATAGAGCTGAGAGGGCAGACAGGGCTGGCCCCAGGGAACGCCGTGGTTGCCTGGCAGCCAGCCCCATTGCCACTGTGCCCCAGCGCACTGAGCCCAGGAACTCAGTCTCCAGGTCATGGCTCTGAATGGCAGGGGAATCCCCCAAGCTCTCCAGCCTTCCTCACCACCACGGCGGACACCTTGTGGCAGGGGGAGGCAGCTGGCACTGCTAGGATGGCACAGGTCCCTGGTCAGTGCTTCCTGGAAAAGGAGGGAAGGCGTGAGAAGCCTGGGCCAAGCAGTGAAGAGGTCCTTGGGAGTGGAAATCGGAGGGAGAAAAAACAAAACAACCGGGAAAGGCCGTGCAAGCTGCAGCCTGGAGCCTGACATTAAAATAAATAGTGCCTGGGGGACCTGCGCGGAGAGGAAGCGAACTGGCAGGGGCTGAGAGCATCACAGCTTCCCGTGTTGAGTGCAGCCCAAGACCAGGCTGGGCTGAGTGCGAGAAGCCGCGGTGTGCCAGAGGGACCGACACCTGTGGGCCCCGTCCCATAGGGAGGGATGGAGAGTGGGAGGGTGGAGGGTTAGCCACCGGCCCAGAGGACAGGCTCCCCTGTTCGTTAGCTGTGGCCACAGGCAAGTCTCTCTTGGCATTACCAGCATCAATATCTTAGTTTTTAAGTGTTTTTGTTGATTTTTAAAAATTTTAGTATTGCTTGTACAACTGAGGGGGATGCACGCCCATTTGGACCTCCAGTTAGGGTGAGGAGGTTCAAGTATGGAGGAGGGGTGGGACAAATGTTTCCGTTCCCCTCCTCCTGTGTCTGCAGTCGGGGTGAGGAGGAGGGCCACTCCTTGCTGTCAAGCTACATCAGCCCCCGGGGATGCAGTCCAGTCTGGTCTGTAATGACACCTTAGAGACCTCAGTGTGGAAAAGTGTTCTTAAGGTGTTACTTGAGTGATTTTGATCATGCTGAGAAGTTAGTTTTGTTATTTCAGGGTTGAGAAAATCTTTCCATGGTCTGTTGGCTGACCAAGTTTACCTTAGTGCAGCCACAGACCCAGGAACATGCTCCAAAGTTTGGCCAGGAGAGTTGTCCAACCTGTTCTGCTTCTCATCCTCTGACAAGGCCGTCGATGTCCCCTGCTGGCCAAGATGGACTGGCTGTGACGTCCCCCAGGCTTTCCATCACACAGGCTTCAGGTGGACGAGTGAGGAGGCCCAGTGCCAATACATGTACCCCACAGGTCAGACTGCACCTCCTATGATCTTCCAGGATGGCAGTGCCAGGACTAAGGGCAAGCCCTATTGGGCTAGACCATAGTACCACCTGGAAAGTACAAGATCTGAGGCTGAGAGTGGGCTAAGTAGAAAGCTGTGGGAACCCTTCTGATGGACTGTGGCTCCCATCAATGAGCATGAGAACCAGGGCCAGGGAAAGGCCTAGCTGGACAGTACCCATCAGCGTAAGTATGGACTGGACAGTGTGATTGGTCAGGCTGATCTAGGCTGCAATACCCATTGGTGTGTATGAGAACCAACTGGGATGTAAGACAGCCTGGACTAATCTGCTATATATATTGGCATGTGTAGGAACCCAGGTCTAGGAGGAAGTTACTGGGGGGTCTCTCTGGGCTGCAGTCCCACTGGTGTGCATGAAGGCTATGTGGTGGGTAGGGTTAGGCTGGGCCACAGCTTTCATTGGTTTGTGTATGAGGTGGGGTTGGGAACAGAACTGACTAGGTGACTGCAACCACTGGTGTGTGTAGGCTGATGTGGGTGATTGAGCCGGATCCTGCACTGGCTGGCCGTCAGGTCTGGGTTATCTCAGGTGAGGTTTTTTGGGGACCTCTCCAACTCAACCACTGGACTCAAAATTCCAGTCATGGGGTAAACCAGAGGATCTGTGGTCTGACCGTGGAGTGCGTGTGTCAGCACTAGGGCTCCCTGGCCGCTGAGCCTGTGCAGTGGGCAGCGTGCCCAGAGGCGCATGGAGGACGTGACAGCTCCCTGAGGACTGCAGAGAACATCTAGTACATTGGCACAGGATGGAAGACAGAACAAATAAGACAACCCCCCAGCCAAGCATTGACAGCAAGTATCTAAGGAACTACAGCAGCCATGGATCAGGGAAGGACTGCCTCCGCCTTGGAGCGACTGAGCAACAGCACCGCAGAGCTATCGAAACCACAGAGAAGCAGAACCCTCGGGACATGCTCCGCTTCGGGGACCCTGGGTGACATCGGTGGCCGTCACCCATCCCCAGGCACTGATGTGGGCAGGCTGCGTTTCCCTTCTCGCCTTCAGATACGCGAAGAGAAGTTGGAAGCAGTGGTCTCATCCACTTTCCCAGTTCCTCGACTTCCCACCCTGATCGGAGGTCCACATGGGCATGCATCCTCAACTCCAAAAATGAATGCAGACAAGTGAAGGTAAATATTACTGTCAACCACCCAGAGTTACGCAGTGAGCAGGTCATGCTTCCTGGCGAGTCTGATTCTTTTAGTATCTCAAATTGCTGTGGGCCCGTTTTTCTTGCCCTGTACCCCTTGTTTGCAACTTTGTGTCGGGTGTTACATATTTTAAACTACTTGCAGACAGAGCCTGAGGCCTGGGATGTAAGACTTCTCCTGAGTTTTGCCTCGTGTTGAAGCCACTCCTGACCTGGAGTAACGTTGATCCAAACTCAAAGTCCGGTTTGTGGGACCATGGACTTTGTTCCCCATCCCCATGGGCCATGGGAAAGGCAAGCTTGGTTTCCCAACTCTTAATCAGGATGCATAAAAAAATTTGAAGCCAAAGTTCTGGGTCATCTCCTTAAAGTTAATTTGATTTAATTTTTTTAAAAAAAGATTTATTTATTCTAGAACCATCCTAAAGAACAAGAAGTTAGCAGGGGGAATCACAGTTCCGGACCTCTGGACCTACTATAGAGCAGTGGTTATCAAAGCAGTCTGGTACTGGCACAAAGATAGAGAGGAAGGTCAGTGCAACAGAATAGAAACACCAAAAGACAACCCACACAGATACAGCCAATTAATCTCTGACAAAAAGACCAACGACAGTGCAAGCAAATGGGAAGGCCTCCCATCCTGTGGGGATTGGGTTTTGTGGGTTTTTTCTTCCCTTCTAAATTCGATGTGGTTGGCTTGTTGGCTTACCTTTTTTTTTTTTTAAGATTTATTTATTTTTATTGGAAAGGCAGATAAACAGAGGAAGAGAGACAGAGAGGAAGATCTTATGTCCGATGATTCACTCCCCAAGTGACCACAATGGCTGATGCTATGCCGATCCGAAGCCAGGAGCCAGGAGCTTCTTCCAGGTCTCCCACACGGGTGTAGGATCCCAAGGCTTTGGGCCAATGTCAACTGCTTTCCCAGGCCACAGGCAGGGAGCTGGATGGGAAGTGGAGCTCCTGGGATTAAAACTGGCGCCCATATGGGATCCAGGGCGTGCAGGGCGAGGACTTCAACTGCTAGGCCACGCCTCCAGGCCCGATTTAATTTTTTTTTTTTAAGATTTATTTATTTTTATTGCAAAGTCAGATATACAGAGAAGGGGAGAGAGAGAGAGAAAGATCTTCCATCCGCTGATTCACTCCCCAAGTGGCCACAACGACTGGAGCTGAGCTGATCCGAAGCCAGGAGCCAGGTGCTTCTTCTGGGTCTCCCATGTGGGTGCAGGGTCCCAAGGCTTTGAGTCATCCTCAGCTGCTCTCCCAGGCCGCAAGCAGGGAGTTGGATGGAAAGTGGAGCAGCTAGGATATGAGCTGGCACCCAAT